TATATATATATATATATATATATATATATATATATATATATATATATATATATATATATATATATATATATAGACACACACACACGCGCGCGCGCGCATACATATTATTATTATTTACTATTATTAATTCTTACTTTTTCTTCTATAATTGTTTATTTTTTATTATTTTTAGTATGGATTTTTATTTTATTATATTATTATTTTTAGTTTTCATTTAAAATTCTAAATATTTTTATATTTACTTTTTTATTTTTATTTATTATCTATTTATTTTATTAGTAAACATTTTTTTATTATATATTTTTTTGTTGTACTATAATGATTTATTTTATTTTCTTATTATTTATTTAGTTGTTTTGGAATTACTTATTAATTATTAGTACTATCTATTTGTTTATTTTAATTTTATTTTTCATTTTTATTTTATATTATTTTTTATTTATAAGGTGAAAAAAATTGACAGAAGAATAAGAGAATGACAAGAGAAAAAGAGATTCCGTCCGATTTGGAAGGATTGATTTGGAGGAGAGGGGAGGGAATTGAAGCTAAAATTTTGGATCCCTTCCCCTCCTCTTTCCTCCAACCAAACAGACCCTAAGCGTAGTTTTTAACTATATAATTTTGTTTTTTAACTATGCAAATTTTTACTTATATTGATTGAAAAAAACGTCAATCAAACATTATAAACCAACCAATATATAACCTTATTCGAAGGAACTAAAACTTTTGACGTAATTTTTAAATATGTACAAATTAATTTTATATTTTAATTTTATACTAATTTTTTAAAAAGAAAAACATGAGATTTCATCGTTTGATTTCAATGTAAATTATTCTAAGATAGATGAAGTATATATTTATTCTTTCTGTACAATAATGTTCTTCACATTGTGGACTTGGCACACAGGTGTAGGAAAAAAAATATTACTCCGTACTTTTCAAGAATACTCATACTTTAAATTCTTGTAGCTCCTTTTCTTATTAAAAAACAATAAAAAATAGATAAATTGTAAACTCATAATTTTAAAAACCGGACCGGCCAATTCAGACCGTAAACTGGTGAACCAGTGGTCCAACCGGTCCTATCCAACCTTTTCGACCGCAATCACCTTCAAACTAGTCCAAACCGGTACAAACCGGCCGGTCGAATCGATCAGACCAATTATTTTTTAATTTTGTGATTTTTTGCATTTTTTTCCAAAAGAATACCAACATGGGGGTTTGAAAACTCAAGATCTCTTAGAAGTGAAGTTCTTAACCATCAAGCTAAAGTGTTTTTTTGTTACAAGTTCACTTACTATTTTTAAATATTTTATAATTAAAAAGAGATTGTACAAAGATTCTTTTTCATTTTTAAAACTAAAATAATAGCTATGAGTCAAACACAAAATTATTAATATAATTGATACTATTACAAAATGCATATCATGCAAAAATTTCATTTGAATGTTTTTTATTATTAAACAACTTATTTGAAGAAATAAAATCCTTTGTTCATTTATAAAATTTTTAATATTATTTTTTAAATATGTAAATTTGATTTTTTAACTTAGTAACATAACTCAAGTATATTAATATAATTTTGGTCAAATGTTATAAATTACTTTATTTAGGTATATATAAATGATGAAATGTGTATGTACACACAATATGTTTTATTCATTAAATAGAAGTATGATATTCACTGACAATTTTTTAGTGTTTATATAGATAATGTAGGAATAATGCTCACTTTTTACAAATTAAAAAACAAGAGTAAAGAAATTACATCTAAGTGTTGATAAGTAATTTGGTAGGATGTATACGGCAAATTATATTATATATCCGGTTGTACCCAGATTTGGGTACAACGAAAAAATTATTTCTGGCATGAATTTTATTTTACATGAGAAGAAATACTAAGTTATTTGAGAATAAGTATTGTTTTGTTTTAGAATAAACACTACACTATTTGTAGATGAATATTATAATTATAGTGAACTAATGTGTGAATATGAGTACTGCACTATTTTAGAATGAATACCACGCTAATTATATTTGTACGAGAACGAGTACTACTATACTTCAGAATATTAAAATAATAGTTTTGAGTTCGTTTAGAAGTACTTGATAATATGCTTCTCCAAAAGTTATAGAGAGAAGCATTTTTATGTCCATATATAATTGTATAGTTTAACAATATACTTTTTATTTAATAAAATTATACCAAGTATGTTTTTTACTCTAGATGACCTTATGAAATATATGCCTAAGTGTTTGTAAATGTACGCATAGAAAGAGTTATTAATAGTGTACAACTATACATAGAAGTTAAATATGATAGAAAATAGAATGAAAATTTAAGCTCTTTGAATAGATGAATCTCAATATAGCGTAAAAGATGTAGATACATGTAGCAAAGACAAATTAGAATGTCATTTGAGGGTGCACAATCCCATTTGTCAAAGTCTGGCAGTCAAAAATATATTTGTAGCCTATAATTTATCAACTATAAGAATTCAAGAAATTAGATGTTACTACTACGTATATCATAGGTTTGACTAATTAGACAAACCAGTTGATATCAACCCTGCTAAGCCGTTAGTATTCTTGTGAGAAAGAGTTTGAACAACTTACCTTAGGTTTATCGGGATGACATTTGTGTTCAACAATACAACCAGCATGAATGCAACTACCAATTCAGTGATTCCATTAATCACTGCATTGATACATTCCTAGCTGAATCAATGAAGATACCATAACCTGCAACAATCTAAAACTTAAATTATGCATGACTTTATGAATCTTCATCCCCCGTCCAATTTCTCACACCAAGCATGAGGGTATACTAATATATGCATGCCTAACACCAATCGTTACGATTCAATAGAAAACAACTCCTATGGGTACCATTCTGGAAGTGAAATTACAATTTTTGGGAAATGAAAGTACAATCTTTGGTGAAATGCATCTATAAATAAATCCAGTAAAAAAACAGTACATATTTTACAGATTACTGGAAGAAGTTATAGAAAAAATAGATCTTTCAAGCTTATTCAAAAAGACATATTTAGTGAAAAAAGGATTAAGAGGTATGAGTATGAGTTAAGAAAAGGAACATTGTATAAGCTACCATGACGTGAATCTCAAAGTTTCTAGTCATAGAATTAATTGAAATTCTTCTCAATAGATGGCCTTTCATGGCGCTCTCTTTACCCAATTTCTTATGAAACCTGTAAACCAACAACCCAATTGAAACCCACGAGAGTATGGCCTTGGTGTGGGGGTACGCAGAGACCAAGAGACCCCTGATTTGAAAAGTGACTAATACATAGAAAACACTATGGAGTTTGCAGTTGTCATGCACATAAGTACCAAACACTTGTGACAAACATATACCACTCAGTTCAAACTTGATGTTTAAGGGCCCTATACCACCGTAATTTCTTTTTACCAAATGGAGGGTAAGATTTGCGTACAATCCACCATTGTGGTGGTCCTTTTTTATACTCCCTCCGTTCTCAAAAAGAGTTCCTACTTTGACAAAGTATAAAAATAAGGAAGTGTTAAATTGTAGTTGACTTCCAATTTTGCCCTTGATGTGATGGATAAATTATTAGAGAAAAAGTAAGGGTAAAAGTGGTTTTTTAATAAAAAGTGGAAGTGTTTTGTTAGAAGTGGAAAAAATGAAAGAGGAAGTGTTTTTAAGAACGGAGAGAGTATTATTGATTGTTTTTACCAAAATCATAACAGTAAAGAAAACACACAAACAGGCACAAATGAAGAATAGGAGATACGAATGAATGAAATTGCAAGATATATATAGTCTATTAAAAAAAGTCATCAATGAAAGTTCTCGAAAAACCTACCATCCAAAAACCAATCAAGAATATAAAAAAACACTCACAAGGGTTATGTGTTTTTGAGTGATGTTTTTGTAGTGTGCTTTTTGGAGTATGTGGAATCAATACCTTCATTATAAAATAATTAAAGTTTTAGAAGATTGGCAGTATTCGTCATTGTAATTTTTTTTGACATGCAAAAGATTTCCCAATCTCTAAGGGAAGTTTAACCTCTTAAGAGTTAAGATGTATCTGGGTGTAAATTAAAATTCAAAGTTACAGTAGTTTAGGCCAAAATGCCAAAGTTAACTAATTCTTTGTATTTAGTTTGTTTAGTGTACTTTTCTCGGCAGTGCTCTTCTGGTTTTTAAGTAAATGGGTGGTAATCAATGAGGGAAAATATAAAGAAAACTTACTGCTTTGTCTTTTTTGAAGTATGACGGAGGGTACTCAATTGTTTGTGAGTTGTTTTACTTTTTAGAGTAAAAAAAATTTGGATATTAATATCTAGTTTGTGTTTTTTATTCATGGTGATCAGTTGAAAAGAAGGTGAACAGAATATGATACAATTAAGAATATAATACCTAAGAAATATATTTATCCCTGATTTCCTAAAAGAATAAAACTCTTTTGTAACTACAAAAGCATATTAGCCTAAAAAAGAAAAATGAGAATTACTCTAAATTAAGAGACGCCTATATAAAAAAAAGGGATGCAACAGAGTAAGTAAAAGGTGTTGTAGAAAAGGTCTAATTTCCTGGGTCAATTTCATCTGCCAAATACACAGCTAAAAAAGAGAGCACTTACTATTTGTGGAGTGATAGCGGCAGCTGCAACATACATATCCAGTTTGCCAATGGGTATGCCAATTCTCTTGACTCCAAGATCTCCTAGGCCAAGTATTCTACTTTCATTCGTGAAAACAATTATGTCTACCTACAAAAATCTGGAACAATAATTACACCAGTTGGATATGCTCCAATAAGTGAAATGCCGAAATCCTTAGATATGTCCTAATCAAAATGTTCATTTCTGACAAACTAACTTCTTCATGCAAAACAATCTTCCAAGCCTAGCAGTATATCTGGTTAAGTTTTGGGGAGATTTAGAATGAGTTTAACCTCAAAAGCATTTGTTTAATTTACTTTAAGAGTGTATTGAAAGATAAATAAGTTTCAGTACATGTTTAGAAGGCTAGTTATAGATCATAGACTTCATCTCTCCCTTGTATTTGGCACTAAACACATCCCACGCGGGCACCTGAACAACCTTGAGTAGTTTTGGCACACTAATCCTGTGGTAGGAGTGTATAATATATGAGATAAATATTTAATGTTGTCAATAAGAACCTGCAAAGTGCAATAAGACACTAACAGAAGTCATCCTAGGGCAGCATATCTTAAGTCACTTAGTATTATAACTTTAACAGCTGTATGTAGGAAAACTTACTTGATAGTATAGTGTCTCATACTCTCATTCCTATCATGTAGTCTATTTTGCTAAGGATATATACAAGACTATTTGTACGAGGCGTAAGCCTCGATGCGGAACGAGGCGTAAGCCCAAGTTCAATATGAAAAAATTAATACTAAAATATGTGCATCAAGGTAAAACGAAATGCATAATCCATTTTTTGACACTTGACAAGGTTTGACAAGACATCAAGATATTGCTATTCTACTTACAACCCAGCACAATGGGGAGTGTTGAGGGGATTTATAAAGTAGTGTGCTATTGTGTGAATAGAATTTATAGTATATTGTGTAATACATTTGTACCGGCCCAATGAGCCCAATATTGTAAACCCTAAAGTAGCTCTCCCCTATATAAGGAGGCTATTACTAATGAACATTTTGGAAGGGAAGACATAACACGGAAGCCTCTCGCTCGGGTCCCAGAAGTCCCTGTTTGGGTCCTCCCTGATGCCCATAGGCTAACCAGGCATCCCTCGACTCCGCTTCTACGTCTCAACTCTCACATCCATCATCGACATTTCTCTGATCGCCAATTGCTTGAAGATGATACGTAAGTTTTTTGTTGCATCTTCGTTTCTCTGATCGTTTCGTTGCTGGCTCATTTCTCCTTCTCTGTACATTTTACCCAATTTCTCGATCGCTAGGAGTATGCGGTTTGTAGTTCCATGTGAGAACTTTAGTTTGATTAATTAAATCATCAATGTGTTGCATTTTTTAGTGATCTCACTGCTGGAGAAATGGCGCTGATGTGAGAGTTATAAACAGATCTGGATTATATTAAGAATTAATAATAAATTAATCAAATTAACTAGTATAAACATGTATGAATTTATTTACTTAAACCATTATAAACTATACGGAGTACTAGTTAATGAATTATAAGTAGCCTTTTATAAACAATAAATAAATTATACTAATTAATTTGATTAATTAAATCATTAATCTGTTGCACTCAGTTCCAGTTAATAACTTATTTTTTATTGTTTATTTGTATGTTTGATCTAGTATTTGCAGCCTTTATTATGATGGTGTACCTGCAACTCCTTTTTTTGGCAATTTAGGACTAATATCATTTTTTTATTTTGAGTTTTGACATGATTGTTTTTGGTATTTTTGCAGCTGATCTTGGCAAAGAAACCCAAGACACCAAAGAAGCCCAAGCCACGAGAGGTAATCAATGATTCATATATCCGTTTCCTTAACATTATTCCTAGTCTCAAAGTTCTTTTGTTTTATATAAAGTAACATAGAAACACATGATTTATACTAAAATTTATAAATACCTAACTTGTTAGTACTATAAGGGGGAAAAGGATTAGATATATATACGCTAAAGAGAAAAAATTTAATAAGAAACTAATTCTAAAAAAAAATCCTTGCCAAGGTTATGTAGACATATTGAGTGTAGATTCAAATGGACATGATCTCAATATTGAGTGTAGATTCAAATGGTATTGAGGTCATGTCCATTTGAATCTACACTCAATATTTCTACATAACGTGGCAAGGATTTTTTTTCTTTTTAGAATTAGTTTGTTATTAAATTTTTTCTCTTTAGCGTATATATATCTAATCCTTTCCCCCCTTATAGTACTAACAAGTTAGGTAAATTTATAAATTTCAGTATAAATCATGTGTTTATATGTTACTTTATATTAAACAGAAGAACTTTGAGACTACGAATAATGTTAAGGAAACGGATATATGAATCATTGATTACCTCTCGTGGCTTGGGCTTCTTTAGTGTCTTGGGCTTCTTTGCCAAGATCAGCTGCAAAAATTCCAAAAACAATCATGTCAAAATAATAAAATGGTATTAGTCCTAAATTGCCAAAAAAAGAAGCTGCAGGTACACCATCATAATAAAGGCTGCAAATACTAGATCAAAAAGACGAATAAACAATGAAAGATAAGTAAATAAATTATTAACTGGAATTGAGTGCAACAAATTAATGATTTAATTAATCAAATTAATTAGTATAACTTATTTATTGTTTATAAAAGGATACTTATAATTTATTAACTAGTACTCCGTATAATTTATAATGGTCTAAGTAAATAAATTTATACGTGTTTATACTAGTTAATTGGATTAATTTACTATTAATTCTTAGTATAATCCACATCTGTTTATTACTCTCACATCACCTATCATTATCACCAACAATAAGATATTAGCGATCAAGAAATTGGGTAAGATGTGCAGAGAAGGAGAAATGAGCCAGCAACGAAACGATTGGAGAAACGAAGATGCAACAAAAAACTTACGTATCATCTTCAAGAAATTGGCGATCGGAGAAATGTCGCTGCCGGCAATAGATGTGAGAGTTGAGACCCAGAGGCGGAGTCGAGGGATGCTTGGTTAGCCTATGGGCATCAGGGACGGACCCAAATAGGGACTTCTGGGACCCGAGCGAGAGGCTTCCATGTTATGTCTTCCCTTCCAAAATGTTCATTAGTAATAGCCTCCTTATACAGGGGAAATCTACTTTAGAGTTTACAATATTGGGCTCATTGGGCCGGTACAATATACTATAAATTCTATTCACACAATAGCACACTACTTTATAAATCCCCTCAACACTCCCCCTTGTGCTATGTTGTAGGTAGAATAGCAATATCTTGATGTCTTGTCAAACCTCTTCAAGTGTCAAAAAACCTCATGGGAAAAGTAACCTTGATTGAAGGAAATAGTACCTGTTTAGAGATTTATGATTTTGACTTCTTACATTAAAATTATTATTTCTTCGATCCTTACTTCGATCGCTATCATTCATGTACCTTGTTACTTCGATCCTTACATACATACATATATATATATATATATATATATATATATATGGATTGACTCAAGTGAGATGACACCTTATGCTAAGATGACATGCTTCAATGAGATGACACAACACAATACACTGCCAATGAAAAGCTCACCAACTACTAATGCAAAGCTCACCAAATGTCAATGCAAAGCTCACCACTTTTTTTAAATAAAAATAGTTAAAAAAATAACACCACCACTCAGCCACCACTCAACCACCGCTCAACCACCGGTCCACGGCAACAGTGGGAGTCATCGGTGGTGTTGTTTTTTTGTCCGTCTCAAAATAAATTGCTTGTTTCCAATTTAGGTAAGTTTTTATTGTTAAAATTCCTAAACTACCCCCCCAATTATTAATTCATTCCTTTATATCCTTTTACTCGTGTATCATTTCTTCATTTCTCTGATCCTTTCACCTCAATCTCTTATCATTCTCTCTTCTTTAATCTGTTTTGGGTTATTCTCTTCTTCAATCCCTTTTTCTCTTCTTTCATCCACACAATCTCTGTGCATTATTTTACGGGTCTAGGATGTTCACCTATATTATTGATCTCTTGTTTTTTCAGATCAAGTATTTTTAGCATGCTTTTTGTATCTAAGGTACGTTCAAATTCTTTCATCTACAAATATTTGTTTGATTCTTGTTGTATTCTAATTTGTGGTGTTTTCATATTAATGCAGCTCTGTCCCTAATTTTCAATTGTCAAAATTTTCAGATCTTGAATATTTATACGTAGTATGATGAAATTTGAACTGATCTTAAAGATTTATATGATGAAATTTGAATTGATAGGCAGCTGTGGGGATGAGGACCAGTGAATGAGTGATGCACTGCTGCTTCCCTGGGAGATTTGGTGCTGCTATCCAGTGTGATAATGGAAAAAGAGACATGTGTATTATTCTTCCATTTTTTATTGTGTTGATGATTTTGAGTGCGCTTTAACATTCAATAAAGCCTGTAATGATGCTCAAAAAGAGTGAAAATGTTGTAAATTTTTATTGTGAATTGTTTGGGTGCGTATAGAGTAAATGTCCTTAGATAGGGGTGTTCATCCGTCCAGGACCGGACCGGACCAAAGACCGAAATTGGAAAAATATAGGACCAAAGACCGGACCTATTCACAGTCGGTCTTGGACCGGTCTGGACCGAAAACTCTTAGACCGAACCGGAATAGATCGATTAGACCGAATTTTTTTTCATTTGAATTTTTCAAATCTTATACAACCAAAACACTACAAAATGTAATTCCAGGATCTAATTTTGTGTTTTTCCTTGAATGAATGCTTCTTGTTTATCATACTGTTCTTGTGTTTTCAATAGGTATTTGAATGTGATTTTCTAATGATTTTAATTGGTTTATGGATTCTGTTTAAGTTCTCAAGTCTACATTCAAATCTTCTAAAGATGAATGCACATAAACACTTTGAGTAGTCATTGATTCAGTGGATTCTTTATTCATAAATGATTCGCTCTTCATTTGGAGTAGTGTTAAAAATACTACAGAGAACTCTCCACACTCCAGTATTTGAGAAGGAGACAAGATGAGTCTTACCTGATTCAATTGGTATTGAGGGAGTCGGCGTCTCAGGCTCTCGGCGATTGAGTAATTCAGGCGGGGGATTCGGCGCTGGGCAGTGGGCGAGACACTCTGCGAGGCGAATCGGCAATGGCCTGAGACCTGAAAACTCTTGACGACGATTAGGGTAACGACGTGTAGACGAGGACGATGAAGAGGACCCTAATCGCTGGGCTATCCCTCGACTGAAACACTGACGACTCTTCCAGAGGAAGGCTAATCGGAGATGGCGAATCTCTCAGGCTCTCGAACAACGACAACACAGGAGAAGGAGAATCAGCGATGGCAAATTGGCGATAGGTCTTTACTACTTACGGATAAGGTTGGGCTCTTGATTTTTGAACGTAACACATAAATCAAAAAACACCCCATCTTTTGTACCCCACTTTGTACCCCGCAATTTTGCATCGACATTTTGTGTTGGTGTAAAACTAATTTTTATTAATGCATCAATACCTTGTTAACACATAAATTTTTGTTAACGCACCAACATTTGTGTCGGTGTAAACCATCAAAATGTTTGTGTATAACTGCGGTGTACAAATGGAGTATAATTTTTGGTGTAAATGTAGCATGGTCCATTAAAAAATAAAGGGGATGGGTCTATCTCGGTCTGGACCGATTGATAATCGAGTAATGACCAGACCGGATCGAAACCCGAAATTAAAAACACCCTAGACTTAAGACCGACGTGAAATCATGTCGGTTAGGGTTCGGTCTGGACTGATCGGTCCGGTTAGATCGGTTTTTCCGGTCCAGACCTATAAATGAACACCCCTATCCTTAGATGTTCTCCTTTTCAATTACTTTAGCTTGAGGGTATTTTTAGAAGGTTGCCCCTAATTTTTTTATACTTTATTTATGAGGCAAAGTTCAAATATGCAATATAAGATGGAACGGAGGGAGTAGTATAAAGCACTTTATAATGATCATTATACCTTGTGCTATTCTACTAATCTATAAAACTATGTTTAGTTCAAGGAATTTGTAAGGAAAAGAAAAGAAAATGGATTTTGTCTCATTTTCTTCCCCAAAATTGGAGGAATCTGATTTTCCCTCCTCTTACACTATGTTTGGTTCAAGGAATTTGATAGGGAAAAGAAAAAAATTTAGCGGAAAATAAGTTTTCTTATTTGGTTAGAAAGGAAAAGAAAAGTGGAAGGAAAAGAAAATGAAAAGGATTTTTCCGACCGTTAATATAAGAGTTTTTCAAAATTATATACTTTACTATTAAATATAATGTTATAAAAATAAAGTTATAATCATATTTTTTTCTTACTACTAGTTTTTAGTATATAAATTATATTTTTGGACAAAATTTTAATGATATTGCATAATTTTCTTATTTTTCCAAAACTTATGCATTTTTTAATTCTTATATTTATTTTATATATCTAAAAATTACTCTATAATTTAAAATAAAATAATCTAATATATTTAGTACATATGTTTTGATATTTTAAATTTATTCAATGCAAGATGCAAGTGTTAATATGATTCTAAAAATTTTAAAAACCAAATTCATAACCTCTTAGGCCAACTCGAACCCGATGACATTGGGTCATAAACATACAATTCTTAAATCTGACTTGACCGGGCCGATTTGCCAACTCTACTTCTTCAATCTCTTCTTCGCCGCCGGGTTTGAGATTTTAGCTTTTGTCGTTTCACAAATGTCTTCCTCTTTTTTCAAAGGTTTATTGTTCGCTTTTTTTCAAAGGTTTATTGTTCGCTTTTCGTCTTCCTCTTTTTTTCAAATGTTTATTACTCGTTGTTGACCTACGGGGTACTCCATATTTTTTCTGAACAAAGCACATCTGTTGGTTCCATGGTGTTCACGAACTTACAACATCATATTAATCACCAAATAGGTCAACAAACAAATCCAAACAACTCCTACTGCCTTACTACAAACAAACCAGCAAAGTATTAGGCCAAACTACATCAGTAAGTAACTCAAGAAGCAAGAGAGATTCTATTACCTATCACCATAACAATATAGGACTTCATAATATGTAAAAGGTACTCTATGGTGACCTCCCTCTTATTGTGAATCTTCAAATTCTTCCACACAAAGTAGCAGCATGTTGTTATACATGTAGAAATGAGCTAATGGTCTTTTCTATTCTTCCTTATCCTCATTTTCCTACCCAAATCAGCAATAAAACCTGAGGATATATCATACTGCAACCTGATAAGTCGGGTTTGGTTTGGTTCTTTTTATTCTTTTTTAGACATTTTTAATATTTTTAGAGTTTAGCTTAGTTTTATTATAATTTTCATTTTTACATTCTTTTTATTTTCTTTCATAAATAGTAGCTTTTTAATCACTTTTTTACATTCTATTATTTTTATTTTATTTTTCCTAACCCAAGTTATCAGATATCTTAGTTTTTAGAGAAAAATATAGCAGAAGGCCAAAATTCAGTTCAAGTTTGGAAAAAAGAGATTAATTTTGGGCCAAAGCCCAAATCTATCATCAAAAAGAAAACCAGCCCATACAACCTCCCTCCACATTATCTTCACGCAAGAAAAGAAAAAAAAAGGAGAAGAGCCGGCTGCTTCATCTTCATCGCGCAAGAGGCAGAAGACCAAGTCAATTAACGGCTTTAACGCTCCAACGATCGGCCATCAATTCCGTCATTCAATTGCCAACGGGAAGAATTCAGCTTCTCCTTGCTATAAATTGAAGGCAAATCGCAACAATTCAAGAGGGGGGAAACAGACGAGAATAAAGCAGCGGCTTGGCCGCTGCTATGGCGGACGGCTGGCAGACGCGAACTGGCGGCGGCATCAGTTCCGGCGAGCGGTCGGCAGTAGTAGCTCCGGGCAGAGGTTAGGCTGTTCCATCACAGCTCCAATTCCTCAATTTCTTCATCTTCTTCAACAATTGGTAACCCTATATGTTATTTCTTCAATTTTTTCTCCAGTTCTTTGTAAAAGTTTGTTTTTTGTTCAATTTTCACATTTTTATTTTTCTTGTTGTGTTTGTTTCAAAAATTCCAAAAATGGTTGGTGTTCTTTTATGGTTTTTTAATGTTTATATTAAATCCCTTATGAATGAGAATTGATTCAAACTAGTTTTTCTTCAATTATTGAGCAAGTTGTTGTTGAATTGGTTGAATTGCATAATTTGATTTCATAAGTAGGTTGGTATGTGGAATTCGGTTTTTTGTTGAAGCTATTTTAGCTCCATAAGATAGTTAAATGATTTCCGAATTCATATGTGATTCTTTTTCGTGCTTTTGTGTTCGTTGATTTTAAGGAATTTGGACTTCTTAGCCCCATAAGATGATTCATTTTTCTTAGAATTCGTTATTGAGTGATTGTTATGTTTTCGTGTGTTCGTTTGTTATTTTCATTAATTTGAGGTTGTTTAAGCTCAAAAACAATTCTTGATTTTGTGAAAATATGTTGTGTTCATTTATGTGAATAGAAAAAACGTCATTGGTTTGAGAAGTTCATGGAAATCTGTGAAATGTGCTCATCATTAGGAGAAAGAGTTTATTAAAATACATAAGGTATTGGCGGTTTGTGAATAGATTATGTATGAGAGTTGAATGCATAATAGATACTCTCTTTTATAAACTTTTTCTATAGTGGAAGTATGTTTTCATGCTTGAATAGAGAGTTGGGGTTCTAAGGTATATTTCAAAACGGGCCTTTGAATTGCATGACTCCGGGCCGTGTGGAGAGTTGACAATCCTCCATATCGTGGTTAAGGAAATGAATCGACTCGGCCTTTGATTGATTTTTTTATTCTTAAGTGCGTAAGTTACGTAATATATTGTCTACGTGCATATTATACGTGTAATGTTCAACTCGTGTTTGTTCTTTTTTTTCATTTTGTCTCGGGTTCTTGGCGGTGTTTCTTGGGTTACCTTTATTGGAGAAGTAATATCTTTTGAGCTTATTTCCCCCATTTTATCAAAAAACCAAAAAAATAAGAAAATACATAAAAACCAAAAATATTTACTTTTCATCCAACACCCCCCCTATTGTGTTTAGTGTTATAAGTTATATTATAAGTTCTTTGATTATATAAGTTATATTTATAAGTTTTCATATTTATTTAGTTATAAGTTTTAGTTATAAGTTTTATAAGTGTTATAATATGTGTAGTAGTTAATTTATTTTGTTTAGTGACAATGTGTGTGCATGCTTAAATGATTTCAAAAGTACAAACTTTCTCCGTGGGATCGACCCTTACTTACCCTAGCTATAGTTTTTATTTGATTCTATTTTGGGGGTTAGCTAAGGTTATTTTATAAATTTTTAATTTGTTTTGGACCACACGACAAGTCCCCAACACAACCATCTATAAAGCATCCTATGAATAGCTTTAGCATATGGGCAAGAGCAACACAAATGATCACAAGTTTCCACCTCCTTATTACACATTACACAGGACATGTCAATTGTAATAAATCTACTTAGTCTATCCTTAGTGATGATTCTACCTTTCCAGATTAACCAGACAATGAAACAATGTTTAGGTATTGACCATTTATTCCAAACAAAATTAGTCCATTCTACTTCTTCATGTGTATCTTTTAGCCAGTTATACCCATCCTTTATGTTGTAGCTATTAGTTATACTCATGCCTAGGAATAATCTTCTGTTTTAGATCATTTTCTTCGAATAGTAACAATCATCAGCTTTTATAGCATAATGCCATATAGAATTGCTTTTGAGATATTTGCTGTGAGCCCATCTGACCCATGGTGAGTCCTTTTTATTAGCTATATCCACATAAGCTTCATGATGCATGCCTGGTTCCATAGCTTCAAGTTCTTCAATCCCAATCCACCTTTTTGTTTATAGAGACTTTTTTTATGCTTGAGTGTGGAACGCCAAAGAAAGTTCCTTCAAAGGGCCATAATTTTTTTTCATAACAGTAATAAGTAACAAGAAGATTCTGCTCCAGAAAACACTACACCATATAATACTGAGTTGATCAGTTTTGTTCTTCTAGCATAAAACAAGTGTTTAGTAGAAAAAGAAGAGATTTTTAGAGTTATCTTTTCCACTATCTTATCACACTCTCTTTCACTGATGCGAGATGCACATATGGGACTTCCCAAATATCTAAAAGAGAGAGTTCCTTTAAACATTTTTGTTCTCTTTGGTGTGGTGTTATAGCATTCCCCAGTTACACCACCAAAAAAACTTGAGACTTATCATAATTTAGATGTAGTCCAGTTGTGTTCTTGAAGTGATCAAGACTAGAGATAGTGCACTCAACAAACCAAAGATTAGCTTTGCAGGCCACTATTAAATCGTCAACAAACACTATATTGATAAGTTTAAGAGCCTTACATCTTGGATAATACCTGAAATAGTCATTTTTTGAGTAGGGGCTAAAAGTTCTTGTGAGATATTCCATTATAATTGTGAATAAAAGGTGGGAAACTGGGTCCCCTTGTCTGATTCCTCTTCCTCCCTAGAAGAAGCCAAAAGCCTCACCATCAAGCTATACAGACTAAGCTACAGTTGTAACACAATAATGAATCCAAGTAATGAATTTCTTTGGGAACTTCAATAGCTCCATAATTTGGGGGAGGCCTTTTCAACTAACTAAGTCATAGGCTTTTCTTAAGTCCAGCTTCATCAAACATCTTAGACTGATACCCTTCCTATTATATCCTCTAGCCAACTCCTGATAGAGGAAAACATTATGCACTAGTTCCCTACCTTTTATGAAGGCACTTTGATGGGAAATTATAATATAGGGAATAACCACCTTTATCCTGTTACAAATAATTTTAGATATTACCTTATAAATCACATTGTAGCATGCTATAGGTCTGAAGTCACTTATGTTTTCTGGACAGTCAACCTTAGGGATAAGGCATATAATGGTATGGATGATCTGTTGAAGAGTAACCCCATCTCAAAAAAACACCAGAACAGCTTTAGAAGCAAGTTCTTTTACCACACTCCATTGGTGTTTGAAAAAGCCACTGCTATAACCATTTGGTCCCGGGCTATTGCAATTTGGAATGTCAAACATACATTTCTTAACTTCATGTATAGTGATAAAAGCAATAAGTTGGATTTTTTTGTTCCACTGAGAGCACTTCACCTTCACCAATAATATAACTCTGGATGTCTTCTGTCCACTTTGTTTCACCTAGCAGACCCTGAAAGTAATCCACCATAACTTGTGCAATGTTAGTTTTCCTATCTACAAATAGCCCTTTAGAATCCATATCCTGCCCAGGGGATGAGCATTGTTATTGATAAAAAAGTTCCAAACCTGACAAACCTTCCTCTCTATGCTACTGAAATTATCCATTCTTATTTTAGTTTTCGATAACCCAAATAGGTAAAAATTATTCTCTCTCAGGAAGAATATGACTTCCTCTTGTTTATTAAGGCTATTCAGCCCTCTTATGTTTCAACATCTTATCATTTTAGGAAGGGGTAATGCCCCTCATAAGGGGCTTTCTCTAATACTTTATGGAGGCTACTCATAAAGTCACCTTCCTCTTTATCCATTGGAATCCTTCTAGCTATTTTCTTCTCATCAACTGTTGTAAACTCCTCATCATTTGGAGGGTCTTCTTTGTGACTCGCATTTCCTTCCTGAGTTTTCTCATTTGATACTTCTTTCTCAACCAGTTCTCATCCACTTGAGCTTCCTTATTCTGCTTTGGTCTCCACATAATTCTTTTAGGTTTGTCCTCTTGCTTTCTAGCTTCCTTCTTCCTACATGTGTCTTGTAGGTGCCCTAGTTTCTTAAAATGAAAGAAAATGCAGGGATACCATAACCTCGACTTGAATTCTAGCATAAACAAATTCAGTTTTCATTGCAGTTGCTTTGTCCCTTCTGATTGGTTTCCCACTAAAGTTACCCAATTAACTCAATCTAGAGATGCTCCAATACTTCACATCCAGGTCAGGGAATTATACCCAGATTGGGATGTCTGACATGTCATCAACATTAATCTTCATTCTTGGTTTCCATTGTTGGACTAAAACTGGTTTATTATAAAAGTAGTAATACCTCCTTTTGATATGATTCCCTTCATATCATCTTCCTTATTAAAATGTGACTATGAATTGCCCATCCTTCAGCACTTCCACATCATCAATAGGATGGGTTTTCCATATACGGTTGACATAACCTTTTACTTCCTCAAGTGGTGGATTTGACCCCAAAATACAACATACTATCAAAGAATTCTAGAAATATGTTGAGTCAATAACATCCTTTGTAGTGTTTTCTTCTGTTCTTACGCTTATTTCTTTTGTATTTAAAACTTTTCTTTTTTAACAAGTTTTAATTTTATTCCATTTTTTAGGGTGTAATCAAATGTCCTGAGATTTTCGGGCTTGCGTTCAGGGTCAAGCATTTGATCGAGGAGATGGGTCGCGGCCAATACCGCACCAACGACATGAGCTCAAGTAAATGGTGAGACATGCAAGCGAAGGTTTCAAAACATTGCAGTATTTGGAACGAGGTGAATAAGTCCCGGATGAGTGGCCAAAGCGACACACATGTTATGAGCGATTCCTTGGCCCAATACGCTCGTGAGTGGGGTGCGTTAACGAGTATCAAGGCATGGAAACTCATGCCTGAATCCAAGAAGTGGCATACCGTCTCGAAACTTTAAGTCTCAAAATGGTCTAAGACGTATTCGTCAACCAATGTGGGTTTGGGACATTCCTCCTCTCGAGTCGAAATAAATTTGAACAACTCCAATGAAGCTGAGGAGGAGTACATCCCTCTTTTGGAACCTCGTTGCCCCCAGACGTAACAACCGAGGAAAACGTTCAACATTCTCGGAGAGTTGGAAGAGAAGTTGGACGAGATATCAACGTACATGAAAATGTGTGTTTCTCTCTAACTAGAAAAACAATACAACATAGAAATGTGCATGTTGTGGACTCCAACGGGTCACTTAACCAGACATGCTAGAGAAGGCACCGATGAGGCGAAGGTGACCATATGGGCAAAATGGAACACGTGCAACTAGTTGTTATATTTTTTCGTTGTTATTTTTTCTCCTATTATTTTTTTATCGTTGTATTTTTCTTTATTGCAATCTTTTTCTCGTATGAATGCATTTAGTTTGAATTATGTATAGACTAATATTTTGATTTTTAGGTTTACAAAAGACATTATCTACAAAACAAAAAACACAAAAAAAATTATTCAAGCCTCTGGCCATTACGTATCTACAAGTAAGGGGCATGTCACATTGCGCCTACATGAAGACGATCAAACCCCTATCATGCCATCAAAACACATGGTCCGCTTTAAAAAAAATTTGAAATCTACTGCCAAACAGGCCTAGGTCTAGGTCCAAGGCAGCATCCCGTTCAACTTATTTTTTCTGCTTATTACTTATTTCTATTAAAATTAGATAAGATCAGACTAAATGAAATCAGATCAGACTTGATCTTAACAAGATTAATATTATTATTCTATTATTATTATTACTATTATTACCATTATTGTTAGTATTATTATTACTATTACTATTAATATTATGATTATAATTATTATTACTATTGTTGTTATTACTATTAATGTTAACAATATTATTATTGTTACTATTATTATTACTATTATCATCATTATTGTTAATTATCATTATTATTATTATATTTATTATTACAATTGTAATTATGACTATTACTATTATTATTATTATTATTCTGACTATAATCACTATTACTGTTGTTATTATAATTATTGTTATTATTATTACTACTACTAATATTATTATTACTATTATTATTAGGATTACTCTTATTATTATTATCATCATCATTGCTACTAATATTATTATTACTATTATTACTATTATTATTAATATTTATATTATTGTTGGTATTACTATTATTATTATTAATAATAATATTTCTATTATTATTATTTCTATTATTATTGTTATTATTATTATTATTACTTATATTATTATAATTACTTTTATTATCAATATTTCTATTATTATTATTATAGTTATTATTATTACTATTCTCATCACTATTATTACTATTACTAATTTTATGAATATAATTATTATTATAAGTATTCTAATAAAAAGTTAGCTTTAAATCCGAATAAATTAGAACTTCAATCGAACAGAGCCCAAATTGGTCCTTGCTGAGAATCCTACTATATATAAAAAGAAAATAAAATAGATTATGTTGTTTCCCTCCCAAAATGGACTGCTACTGTCCAAACACCTCCTGCCCAATAACATACATAATAACACTACCTCATACAGCTGGATTGTATACATTCAATGTATTCAAGGCTCTGGTCATACAGCTAAATGATTTTTCTCCTCATACAGCTGAATAATTAACAGTTTCACAAAACATTCACGAAATCAATTTAAAGTATATCCTACTTGGAACAAAATCAATACGGAGTAAAATCATCAAAAAGTGAATAACCTCATCAGTACTTAACTTACAGAAGTTACAATACTAAAGTATGAGTATTATATTATCTTTATATTCGATAGTTCTGATCTAATCCATTACGGAGATCAAATTTAAAAACAAATCCATTAAAGAATAAAAATGCTCACCATTCTCCAAAGGGAGCCGGCAGGGTAAAGGAAAGTCACCGGAGGACAGGCCGGCAACGATGGAGTGGTGGTGTGCAGAGTCACAGAGGACTGGGAGGTAGATGAGAGGGAGGCGAATTCCTGGTCATGATTCTTAGCAGCGATATTGTAATCATTAAGCTCCAATTTTTTTCTTTCTTTTACCATTTTAAGGCTCTATTCATAATTAAAGTGGTTTTGTCTGGTCTAATCTAATATGATTATAATAAGAATAAGTAATAAGTACAAAAAATAAATTGAACGGAATGTTGCCTAAGTATGAAGAATAATATTATAAAAAAATACGGAGTATAATATTAAATATCCTTCAAAGTAAATATAATATTAAATAAATACATAATACTACAAATTACAGAGTATAAAATTTTTATATACTACCTCCGTCCCAAGATGTAATTAACATTTCGAATAACATGCAAAATATCATCTATTTTTAAATCATTTATTTACAAATTTGTAGGAAAATAAAAGGTAAAAGTTACACTGTTTGAGAATAGATCAAAACTTCTACAAAGATGCAAAAAATACTTTATTTTATCAAATGATAAACCAGAATGAGTAAACGAACAAAAATTAGCAAGAGACCGAAATAGTCACTGTTGCTTACATTTTAGAAAATTATATGGTCGACTTAAGGTACATCATGGACCTATATATGAGCAAAATGAGCATTTTTCAACTTACTTAAATTAGCATCTATTTTTTTAATAAACAAAATTTTTTTTTAAAAAAAAAAGAAATTTTAGGAGCCAAGCAAGTAATTCTTTTCTTAAATGACTTCAATTTAGTGCATAAAAAAAGTAAGTTTTACAATAAGTAAAATTATATACAAAGTTTAACGGATTTGTCATTTTAAATAAACAAAAAATCATTAAAGGATTGAATATGGTAGGCATGACCACAGGGGTATAATTTAGACCATCGAAGATGTTCCTTAAGTTTTGATCAAACTAAATAAAATATTTATTTGATGTGTATAAATTACTGTTTGATTGAAATTATATTAAAATTATATAGCAATTAGTGTAATTGATTGCTAATGAATTATGCTACGTTGTCATTAGAAAAAATGATCACATGAAATAACTTAAATATACTACGGAGTAATTTTAATTTGAGTAAATTTTATAATTGGCCCTTTATAACAGGGGAGTTTCCTTATTTAGTCCTCTATTATCAAATAGTATCTCAGTGGTCATTCTTTTATGGGTACCTTTCCAGAAATAGTCCTTTTTTGATCTTCTATCATGTTTGTGTTAATTTGAGGGCTAAAAGTGTAATTTCACAATGATAATATATCTTTTTTGTCATATACAATTCCATAGGTTGTTCCATTTGCGTCGTTTGTGAATTATAATCGCTTTTTACGACAACTATAGTCTACAAATGTGATCTTTTGTCAGAACCTAGCCCACAATCATAGTCATTATTTTTTTGTTACCTGCTTAACCAATATCAGAACACGTCACTAGACATAATGTTGATGTCAAATTATACTTTAGCCTTTAAATTAACACCAACACGGGAAAAAATAAAAAAGGATCATTTGTGAAAAAATACCCTTAAAAAGGACTACGGGGGTAATATTTGATAATAGAGGACTAAATATGGAAACCCCCTATTATAAAAGGCCAATTATGAAATTTACTCTTTTAATTTGTAGATTACCAATAATGGATCATTTAATTCTAAGTGTGGAGTAATAAAATAATTATGATGTAATTAATAAAATTTATACTTATTAATTTTTATATTTTTATAATTATTAATCATTAAAAATTTGATTTATTTCTTTCCGTGCGCACCGGTATGAAGCTAGTGAGGATATAACACTCGTATATAACTCATACTCCGTATAATATAAGCAGCAATAAAATTCCAAGCTCAAATTTTCAGGAGAATTAGGATCCACAAGCCATGGGTCTAGCGATGGACTTTTCGGATTTAATAATTTGCGATTCGATGAAGCCGGCGGAGGAGGTTGACGTGGAAGGCGAAGGAGAGATGCCCGACGAAGATTCAGGTGTCCGTATTGTTGATTCATTCAAGGACCCTTTGGGAACCATTGTGGAATACAGTGGTTGCGAAGACATGAACACTCCTGGCGATTATCAAGATTTCTCCGATTCCGAAGATGAGAAAACCTTTAGACAATACAGAAAGGAATTTCTCGCTAGTGATGTGAGTTTTCATCTTTCACCTTCATCCGCGAATACAGATTTTCAATGTTTGATTGTGTTTTCGTTAATTAGGGTTATGATATCACTACCTTCTATTATTATCCTTTCACGATGGGTCTCCTCGAACCCATCCCTCTGGAACCTGGCGAAAGGTTATATGAAGCTTGCGTCCATGCTGTACAAAGATTGATTACATATCTCAGGGAAAAGGTTTATTGTTTTTTATTATCTATGTCATATATCTTGTCAGGATATGTTTGGTACACAGAATTGATGGAATTGGAATTGAATTGGGAGCTGAAATTCTATAGAATTGATTTGGATTCTCCACTTCCAATTCATTTTTGGCACTACCAATTCTAAACTCACATATTTTTGTGCTACCAAACAGCAGAATTAGAATTGTTGTCCCCAATTCCAATTTCATAGTTTGAATTCCGTGTACCAAACGGAGCCTCAAAGAAGCTGGTTTTGAAATTTTTCTTTTGTCTGATCAAAAGCCACAACTCTGCAGAGAGGAAGAAGTCTTGAATTTGTGGAACTTATTAAGGCAAATACGGCTATAAATACTTCTCGTTTCTATTTCGCCACCTTTACCGCTATGGAATGTGGAAAACTAGGAACTTATCAAGCCAGACTGTTTCGAACTATTCGAGGCAGCGAGGTTGAGATTTTTCAGTTTAGGGAGGCACCTATGGTAAAAATCAATATGTTCCTCTGTGAAATTATAGCCTACATGAAGTTATTAAATGATCTGATTATACCCTTTTTTCGTTGCTACCCTGCAGGTAGATGGAGATCAGAAGCTGTGGAATTAGTGTCTGCACATGGTCCTATGTGGTTTGTGAGTTTAAATAGATAAGCTCTATTTTGTTTTCTGTTTTGGTAATTTATTGCAGTGCTCCAATGGTTGTGAAGCCATTATAAAGTCTTATGGTTATTTATGTTAAATTGTGACACAATCTTTTTCATCCTTAGTTGTTGGTTGTCCTATGTTGTCTGTGAGTCTAAAAAGATGAACTCTACCTTGTTCTCTGTTTTATTTTGTTGCTGTGATCAAATAGCTGTGAAGCCATTATACAATCTTATGTTTATTTGTGTTGAATTGCCACACAATCTTTTTCAATCTTATATCTCTTACATTCCCAATTTTAGTTCACGCGAAATTATCTAGTTGTCATAATTTATGCATTGAAAAGATAAATAGTTAGGGAAATCACCTTAGGTAGGACTAAAATATAGACAAAAGTACCAAAATAGGACTTTCATATTTTTTCCCGAAATAAGACTTCATACTGTGGTAATGTGGTTGTAATGTGGCACTGTACATTTGCACATTACTATACTTTTTGGTAGTGTACATGACCATGTTTGGTAATGTAAATGCATTTTAACTCCTATTTCGGGAATAAAAACATGAAAGTTCTATTTTGGTATATTTTCAATGTTTTATTCCACTTTAGTCTTTCTCCCACATAGTTATGGGTCACCAAAAGAAAAATATTTTGGGAGAATTTTTCTTAAAATAAGGTCACCCACGGTATCCCACCGGGATTTAAAGTGTTTAGTAGAATGCCCATCTGACCCTCCCATGTCTTTCGTAGATGGAAGCAACAGAAAGAACGCATTGGTATTTGGTACCATATCCTACAATGATAACAAAATGTAATAGGGGCGCATTAAAAACAAGTTTTCTTTGTTGAATCTCCTATTGTTTGATCGCCCTCTCCCCTTAGACTATCCCCATTGGGGGATTTAGGAATTGTGAAATAAAATAAAACGGGCACGGGGCGGTCTCTTTGAAAACCAGATTGAGATTATATTATGATTTATTGTCCTCACAATCCTGTCGGATTGGGGTGTGGGGACACCTAGGTGGGCAATCTAACTTTGAAATAAAATAAAAAATTATACTGGGGAAATAAAGAGTGAATGGTGAAGAGAGAGTGTGGTACTCAAATATTCAGGGTTCCAAAATTGGGATCTGTACGGATGGGATGGGATTCCAAACCTTTTTTTTGTTCTTTTTTGTTCCTTTGTATTCCATCCCAAGCTTCTCTCACTATCCTTTCTTAAACTTTCATTACTTTTTTTTGTACTTCCTCCATTTCAATAAGCCATTCATCTTTCTTTTTTTATTTTCTACAAGATACTTCTACTTTCTATTAAAAATTATTTTTACACCATACTTTTTCATTAACAATTTAACTGACGCATTTTACTTTTAAACATCACACAAGGGCAAAATTGAAAAGTCATCATAAATATATGTTCTTTATTTTGGCTAAAAGTCAAACGGGGAAGAGTTTATCGAAACAAAGCATGTATTTTTTATTCCAATACAACTCCATTCAACAACTTTCCATTGTGTGTCCTCTTTATAATACAAGCTTGTAATGTCTGACAGAATGTTTTGTTGCAAAATTTGAAAAACATACCCCATACCATATGTTCATTTTTACAACCTTACTATCATCAATTGTAGGGGATACTTCAACGCACATGTATTCAACAAATCCAGAATTTCAGTACTTGCCATAAAATAAAACAAAACTTCATTTACTTGTCAAAACAAAAAGTACTCATTTTGGCAATGGCTCCACGGAGCATTAGGATAATTTCAGCCTTGAGAGTTTGCATGGCAGAGGATTGAGAGCCAGTATATGATTCAGCAGTGGAGCTTGTACTCCTATGACTTCGCTCCCAAGATCCCTCACGAGATATATCACTTAAAATACTGCCTACTCTAAATATTTTTTTAGGATCATACCCGAGAAGTAGTAGAAGTGTCTTAGAGGTTTGAACATTAGCATGCTCTAATCGTATCATATCTCACCTTCACGTAATATGTTACAAAGAAGTGTTATCTAGCTAGGTAATATGGAAGGAAAGAGGAACATACGTATATATGTTTGTCGAATACACACGGTCACACTAACCAAAACACTCAATACAATTCAACAATAATTAAAAGAAATGATAAATTAAATTGAATTTATAACAATAATGTAACCAAACTCAAAACAATGTGTCAATCACCCGTGCTCCAGCTCACCTTTTCGCACCTAGACCCCTTCCATCCTTGGACCCATTCGCACCGTACCCCATACCCAAGCGGCCAAACCATTTACGTAGCCCTGTGATACGGGATTAATTATTATTATTATTATTATTAGTATTACTATTATTAATGGTTAGTGGTTATTATTATTATTATATTAGGTAGTATCTTTATTTATGGTTAGTGGTTAATTATATTATTATTAGAAAGTAGTATTCTATTGTTAGGATATATGTTACTATTTATAATTAGGATTCCTAAATTATTTAGTTTTCTTCTATGGTAAGGATTCTTTGGACGTCCTAGCTATAAATGTATCCATTTCAATGAATTATTAATCAATGAATAAAGAAAATATTTTATCCTAAACTTCAATCTCTCTCTCTCTCTTTCTCGCCTCTTTTGTTCTTGAAGTTCGAAGGTGCTCGAAATCCTCCCCTATCCCGATACGATACCGTATCAATTGGTGCTTTCATTGTTGAACTCACCAAAAAAAACCCAAAAAAAAATCATCACCATTGAATTCATAAAAAAACAATGATGAATTCTATGTTGGGGGAACTTTGTGTTTTATTAGAGACTCTTCTTTATGAAAAAATTGGCTTAGATGAAGGAATGTGTGCCGTTGATGATTTTGTTGATGAAATTATAAAGAAGCTCCAATCGTTCCGCCATATTGAAGGTGAATTCTCTTATAATTTGGACTTATATGCATTCGGCATAAAAATTTCTTGTTCAATTCAAGATTTAGTTCGTGGTCCCCCAATTCTACCAAGTTTGATCCCGATAGAGTTATACATCTTCAGAACAAACATGATGAACGCAATAAGGGAACTCATCGGTGCTCTGCTTTCTCCACCAAATTTAGCCGCTAAGGCTGGAGATGTGACTGTTTAGTTGGTGGAAAACACAGCCGCACACACAGGTCCTCTTGTGGAAAATTTAAGCGATGAACCACATGTTGAAGATGACATGAAAAGTGAGTCCAATATCATGGATACCAATAAGTCACTCACGATGAAGGAGGAAATTGTTGTTCATCCGGTAGGTATTTCCGATGATGCTTTTGTTATTGTGACTGATCCTGTTCCTACAGACAATGCTAATGAGGATGCACACCACCAAGACCGCAAGGAAGTTTTTGGGGACAATCCAATTGTTTTACGGGATTAATTATCATTATTATTATTATTACTATTATTAATGGTTAGTGGTTATTATTATCATTATTGTTATACTCCCTCCGTCCCTGAAAACCTTTCTCCTTTCTTTTTTCATCCGTCCCAAAAAACACTCCTCATTTCTATTAAAAAGTCACTTTTACCCCTTACTTTTTCATACGCTACCTATCACATCATACCTTTTTACTTAATAATCTATCCATCAAATCATACTTTTACCCATCACATCAAAGGATATTTTTGGAAATTCAAAACCAAAATACACTCTCCTTAAATCCCTCTTCAATATCAAAACTCTCATGTTTTCCGGGACGGAGGGAGTATTAGGTAGTATCATTATTTATGGTTAGTGGTTAATTATATTATTATTAGAAAGTAGTATTCTATTGTTAGGATATATGTTACCATTTATAATTAGGATTCTTAAAATATTTAGTTTCCTTTTATGGTAAGGATTCTTTAGATGTCCTAGCTATAAATGTATCTATTTTAATGAATTACTAATCAATGAATAAAGAAAATATTTTCTCCTAAACTTCAATCTCTCTCTCTTTCTCGCCTCTTTTGTTCTTGGAATTCGAAGGTGCTCGAAATCCTCCCCTATCCCGATATAATACCGTATCACCCTGTATCCCAACCACACCTCAACCCCACACAATATTAGCGACAAAATCTAAAACCACATCAACGAACACCCCACATTATACATTGTCATGTTGGCATTAATCGGTGTCAGGATTGTCAACATGCATTATAATATTTGGCGTTGTAACTTCAGCTGCAAGATTGTATAGTTTGTATAGTGACTTTGTGGCAGGAAATTGGGAGTGGATTTTTAAGGAAAAAATGATTTTTGATCATATTTTGAGATAAAAATATGAGAATCATATTTTGATTATTTTCATATGTTTTAATTCTATCTATCATGCTAGGACTAAAAGATATGCATTATGTCCAAAATAGGACTTCTATATTGTTATATAATACCTAAAATTAGTATATTGCATTCTAATATTGATCTGAATGCAGTTATATTTTAAATTATTTCTCACCTGGCGATTTCTTTTACAAAGGTTGCGTCCAAGCTGTACAAAATTTGATTGCATATCTCAGGGAAAAGGTTGTGTTTTTTTATCTAAATCATGATGTTCGGTTGACATTGGGGATGATACTCGCTCATTTGGAGCTCTGCCGGTCCCCCGTTTCCAAAATTGATTGATGGTTCCCAAGTCCCAACCCCTAACCCCCCTAACTCCCACCGAACCCCACCCCAGCCCAATCCCTGCGCCCATCAAATGAGCGAGTGTCATCCATTGACACTCGATTCTAGTATCAACGGAACTCTACCGGTCAGAATTTTTTGTTGTCTATTTGTCTGATCAAAAAATCGTCCCACCACTGCAGAAAGGAAGAACTCTTGAATTTGTGAAACTTGTCAAGGCAAATTGGGTGATTGGTACCCTTCAGGGCCGGCCCAATAGGGGGACAAGGTGTCCGTCCGGGCCGGGCCCAAATATGTTAGGGGCACAATTTTTTTTAAAGTATTCTATATATATATATGTGTGTGTGTGTGTGTGTGTGTGTGTGTGAATATAAGCCCAGGCCCAGTCCACCCATGACCCATCCCTTTACTTAGCCCATTCCATGTGTACATGTGTAATCTGTAGACCCAAATAAAAAAAGAAACGGAAGAAAAGAAGTGCCGATCGAAGACACCAGAAACGTCAAGAAAGGGACCGGACGCCGAGCCGAGTCGCCGCCTCCACCGCCGGACGCCGACGCTGAGTCGCCGACCTGCACGCCTCCACCCGGTAATTATTCATAGCCTTCCCTTTCCAATTTTGTAATTTTTATTTCTTAAATCTTAATTTTCTTTCATTGTTTCCTTTTTTAAATTTAAAATCTAGGGTTAATTATTAGTTTTTAATTTGAAATCTTTTCTAATTTGATTCTTTGAAATAGAATGAATGAATGGTTTTATATGTTATTTATTTGATTTGGATGAATTGATTTGAATTTGTTATTTATGATAATTATATATTTATATTAAAAAAAAACAGAAAACCGAAAAAAGAACTGATAAATTGATATGAATTTATGATTTATAAAAAATTTAAAAATGAAAAAGAAAAAACAATTAAAAAAATAAAAATTGACGAATTGATATTAATTTATGATATATTTATTTGCTTGCTTTTTTCAGTTTTTGTTCTTGATTTTACTTAGTATAATACTACAATTTTGCCATTTACTTTTTTCTTGTAATAATATTGCATTAATTATAATTTAAATATAATTAGTTTACATATGTGAATTTTTTAGACAATTAAGGATAAGACTTTCAGGGCCTTTTTTCTGTTTCGGCCCAGGCTGGTTGAATCCTCAGGGAATCCTTGCTCTCTATTTCGCCACATTTACAGCTATGGAATGTGGAAAGCTATGAACTATCAAGCCAAACTGCTTCGCTCTTGTTATGGTGACAGAGTTTGAGATCCATGCATTTAGGGAAGCAACTATAAGGTAATAAAGATGTCCCCGTATGAGATTATATATATAGCCTACACCAAATTAAATAATCCGATCATACCTTTTTTTTAAAAAAAAAAAACTACAGGTAGAGATGGATGAATTTCGAGAATGCTGAAGTATGATATAATTATGTGTGCATTGTTGGTGGTCATATGTGGTTGGTCTGTGAGCCTAAAAAGATAAACTCGATGTCGTTCTCTATTTTATAGAGTTAAAAATGATACAATTTGATAATAATTTGTCTTATTGAATATTGAGAGATATGTCCCTATATATAGGGATTACAAGAGAGAGTCATATTCCTAGTAGGAAAGGAATAAAGTAATTATGGTAATACAAGAATAAAGAAACTAACTAAAACAATATTAGGAGTCTTCCTATTATCCCCCCGCAAGCTGATCAACGGATACGAGGGGCAGCTTGGAACACAAATAATGGAACGGAGTCGGAGGAAGCGGTTTTGTTAGGATGTCAGCAAGCTGCTCAGAAGAAGGAACATGATGCGTAGTCATAGTGCCAGCCATAACCTCGTCTCGAACAAAGTGACAGTCAGAGCCAACATGCTTCATGCAATCATGGAGAACGGGATTCTTGGTGACACAGATTGTGGACTCATTATCACAATAAATCTTAGGTTTCGTAGGCGGAACATGCAGAGCATCCATAATATAACGAAGCCACATCGCCTCTGCCACCCCTGCGGCCATAGCGCGATACTCAGCTTCAGTGGAGGAGCGCGAGACGCGAGTCTGTTTTTTTGTGCACCATGAGATAAGATTCGGCCCCAGCATAAGAAGATACCCAGTGGTGGAACGACAATCATCTTTGTCATTAGCCCAGTCAGAGTCCGAATAAACAGCAAGATCAAGAGAGCCTTTTCTGAACAGAAGGCCATGAGAAGAAGTACCCTTCAAGTAGCGAAGAATACATTTGAGAGCCAAGTAATCCTTCTCTGTAAGATTATGCATGGTCTGAGAAACTCGATTCACAGCATACTGAATATCAACGCGAGTTACCGCAAGATAGTGTAGACCACCCACAAGGCTACGGAACAAGGTTGGGTCGGAGAAGGTGGGCGAGATCTCCTGGGTTGGCCGCGCCGCCATCGGAGTGACAGTGGGTTTGGAATCAGTCATGCCAGCCCGTTGAAGAAGATCAAAGATGTATTTTGTCTGATGAAGCAAGATAGTATCCGCAGAGCGACGAACCTCAATGCCAAGAAAGAAATCCAGAGGACCCAAGTCTTTGAGGCGAAAATTTTTGTGCATAGCCTGAGTGACAGCAGAGATGAGATCAGAGGAGCTCCCTGTAATAATGATGTCATCAACATATAGGAGAACAATGACCATGCTGCGGGAGCTCTGAAAAGTGAACAGACTGGTGTCATGACGACAGCACTGGAAGCCAAGTGCCTGTAAAAAAGTAGCAAAACAGGTGTACCAAGCACGAGGAGCCTGTTTAAGGCCATATAGAGATTTGCGTAGCTTGCAAACAAACTCAGGCCTATTTGGATTGACGTAGCCCGGTGGTTGAGACATATAAATATCCTCATCGAGTGTACCATGGAGAAAGGCATTGGTAACATCAAGCTGGTGAAGAGGCCAATCATAGTGTAGAGCAAGAGTGAGTACCAGACGGATGGTTTGCTGCTTGACAACCGGGCTGAACGTCTCTTTATAATCAATGCCATACTCTTGATGGTACCCTTTGGCCACTAGACGAGCCTTGTACCGAGAGACGGAGCCATCTGGATTCCGTTTTATGCGATACACCCACTTGCAACCAATAGGATCACGACCCTTGGGTAGGGGCACCAAATCCCATGTGCGATGTTCATTCAGAGCTCCAAATTCCTCATCCATGGCATGACACAAATAGCTATTCTTGGAGGCTTCGTGATAGGTGTGAGGTTCAGAGGTAAGAGGAGAGGTATCAAGGGTGGTAGCAGTATAGGTTTTGGGCTTGAAAATGCCTGATTTGGCACGGGTTTGCATGGGATGGGCATTTGTTGTGGTGAGCGGTTCTGTCGACGGTCGACCGTGTGGGGGTGAACGGGTGATGGTATCGACCGTCTGTAGAGATTCAGAGAGGGGTTGGGAGGGCGGTCGACCGTGGGGTGGGGAACGGTCCATGTGGTGAACCGTCTGTAGAGATTCAGAACGGGTGTAAGTGGACGGTCGACCGTGGGTGGATGTATGAGGGGAATGGTCGACCGTTTGCGGAGCAGTAGACGGAACGATTTGAGAGCTGTGCGGTGCCGGACCTGGTGAGCCTGTTCTGGGAGGAAAGATGGGGATGATGCCTAAGGGGTTAGAGGAGGTTGGGGTAGACAGAAGTTTAGAGTAGGGAAACTGATCTTCTACAAAACGAACATGACGGGAGACATACGTTTTCTGAGAAATAGGATCATAACACTTGTAACCTTTTATGGTGGGATGATAACCCAGGAAAACACAGGGAGTGGAACGTGGTTGAAGCTTGTGATGTGTGTGAGGGCAAAGCCAGGGATACACAAGACAACCAAAAGGACGAAGGTGAACATAATCCGGAGGCCGACCATAGAGGGCTTCAAAGGGGCATTGGTTATTTAGGGTGGCTGTGGGTAGGCGATTTATAAGGTAGTTGGCTGTAGCAAGGGCTTCAACCCAAAAGGAGATAGGAAGATGGGAATCATAGAGTAGAGCAATGACAGTCTCAATGAGATGCCGATGCTTGTGTTCAGCAACACCATTCTGTTCAGGGGTGTAAGGGCAGGACGTGTGATGCAGAATCCCAAGATTTTGAAGAAAAATGCCAAAGGCTGTATTTACAAATTCTTTCCCATTATCACTTCGAAAAATCTGAATATTTGAATTAAAATGAGTTTTAACCATTTTTTCAAGGCTAGTAAAAACAGAGTAAGCTTCAGATTTGTGTTTAAGAGGGTAAATCCAAGTAAATTTACTAAAATCATCAACAAAGCAGATATAGAAACGAAAACCAGAGATAGATGGAACAGAGGTTGGTCCCCAAACATCAGAATGAATTAGTTGAAAAGGCGCTGTGGCCTTATGTTCAGAGAGTTCAAAGGATAAACGACAAGACTTAGACATATGACAGGACTCGCAATGTAATTGATCAGAAAATTTAAAACCTAAAGTAGACAAAATAGACTTGGCAACAGCAGGAGCCGGATGTCCAAGTCGGCGATGCCAAGTGGATGCAGTGACAGCTTGACACACAACAGGGATAGGCTTGGAAGGAAGGGTATAGAGACCATGCTCACAGGGGCCCGTGTACCGCACCAGATTCGTATCGTTGTCCACTATCTGAAAGGAGTTGGCATTAAAGAAAAGAGTGCAATTATTATCTTTGGTAAAGCGGTGAACGGACAGTAAGTTTGAGGTAAGGGAAGGAACATGATTAAGTGAGGGGAGGTGAAATTTACCATTCGGGGTGTGAATTGAGCATGAACCTGTGTGAGTGATGGATAAAGTATGACCATTACCTACAGTAATAGTCAGTGCCATGGTAGGGAGTCGGAGTTTGTAGCTGTGAAAAATCATGCGTAACATGAGTATTAGCACCTGTGTCAAGGTACCAATCACCAATTTGGTTGGTTGTGGTTGCATACATAACACGGGAATTGGTAGCCGAGTTGCTCTCACTAGAAGAATCATCATAGCGATACCAGCAGGTAGCAGCAGAGTGGCCACGCTTTGAACAGATCTGACACACTGGAAGATCGTGTGACGGTCCGCGGCCTCCCCCGTGCCGTAGCTTCGACCGCCGCGACCAGATCTAGAGCCGCGCCCAAAAGACGGTCGACCATTCGGTCCACCTCGACCGCAGCCTCGACCGCTGTTTGTGTACAGTGCAGAGTGAGAAACTCCAGAGGCGGAATCTGCAATACTCAATTTTTGCTCGATTTCAAGATTTATTTCTTTAGAGGTCAACCACCCAGAAAGTTGATTGAGACTTATATTCTCATTGTTCATCCGTATATTTTGCTTGAAGGAGGAATATTCATGAGGGAGGCCTCGGATAACAGCATTCACCACATCTCTCTCAAGAATAACCTCGTTGAGAGCATCCAAATCGGTGAGGATAGTGGCAACTTCATCAAGGTACTGGGTGATAGTTTTTGTACCTTTTCGGAGTGTGTGAAGTTTGTCCCGTAGTTGATAGATGTGAGCGGTAGAAACAAAATTATACCGGGCAGCGAGAGCGTTCCACAGATCGGCAGATGTGGAGAAGTTGCGGGCATGCTTGTGAACAGACGGACTGATGACGGCAAGAAGGCATGCACGGATCTGAGTATCGATCACAGTCCATGTTTGGAACTCTGGGTTAGGGTTTTTCTTGCCATCCTTGGATAATATTTTTGGGGGCACAGCTTCATGACCATCGATCCAACCAAGGAGAAGGTTGGCCTCGAGAGCAGTTTTGACATTGAGAGACCATGCAGGGTAATTTGAATTGGTGAGCTTCTCTGGGATAAGATTATGGAGATTGCGGAGAAGAAGCTTGACGCCAGAAGGAAACGAAGCAAGCGGATCTGAATGTTGAGCCATGGTCGCCGTTTACGGTCGACCGGCGAGAGGGAGGAGACCGGCGGTGAAGCACAGTCTCGAAAAAAAAGGCTAGGGTTTAAACCTAAGCTCCGATACCATGATACAATTTAATAATAATTTGTCTTATTGAATATTGAGAGATATGTCCCTATATATAGCTAGGGATTACAAGAGAGAGTCATATTCCTAGTAGAAAATGAATAAAGTAATTATGGTAATACAAGAATAAGGAAACTAACTAAAACAATATTAGGAGTCTTCCTATTAAAAAACATTGTCACCCACAATATCCCACCTGGATTTGAAGCTTTCACTACAATACCCATCTGACCTCAGGAATGAAAAATACAAAGCTTCTATAGACACTTGAGAGAATTAAAGGGCTTCACGAGGGACAACTTTTAGTCTACAGACAATGTAGGACGACATATTTTATTATCACCCTTTGTAAACGATTGTTCGGGAATCTAGGACTTGTTCTTTTGGCAAAGAATTACTGTCTGTATGCATACTCTATTGTATGTGTTTTCTTTTCCTATATGCTGCTTTGTCACAGAGACGGTTACCATATGTGACCTTGAAGTCTAAAGATTCTTAATATTTGTGAAAAGTATGTTTCTCTTTTTTTGTTTATGCATATGTAATTTTGATAATTTATTTTGATAATTTTGCATCTAATCCACATGATATAAAAAACGTCATTAGCAAATACTCCGTATGAGACAGAGGTCGATGTTAAAAGATATGAAACCATTAGCTCTAGTAACTTCTAATTATTTACTCTTATTAATTAGGGAATTTACGTAAATAGCGCTAAAACATAATGACTTTCGTTAAATAACATCACATGTATTTTTTCGCAATTTAGCACTTTTAGTCATTTTTCATTAGTCATTATTCAAGTAGATATTGGTTATCAGTGGACATTATGGACATTATGAAGTGCTATTTAAAAAATAAAATAATTTAAGATCTATTTAGAAAAATGAGTTAGGTTTTAGTGCTATTTAATGCAAACACTCCCTCCGTCCTAAAATTAATTTCTCATTTTGACTTTTGCAGTCAAAGTTTTTAAACTTTGACTGCATATTACGGAAAATATATATTGAATTTTCATATAAATTTAGTATCAATAGATTCATTTTGAAACATAGTTTTGTAATATATTGTTTTGATAATATATATTCATATAAAAATGGAGATATTAATGGTCAAAGTGCCACATTGGAGACCGTGAAAAGTCAAATGGGAAGTTAATTTTAGGACGGAGGGAATATTTCTTATTAATTATATGTGATACTTGAATCCTAGTTGATTAATGTAGGCGATTCTTCACTCGTAACCTACAGCGTTGTTTGTTAATACGGAGTATGTGATTTTACAATGTTGTTTATCCTGTTTGTACATGTATTCTTCTTATGATAAGAAAAGGAGTGAAGACATTTACGATAAAGATTAGATTAATATATCTTTATCCGTTTTAATTAATGTGTACAAAGATCCATCTGTTTTCTCGTGATGATGATTTTTAGCGTGTATAATTATATTTTTTATTTAAATATTCTTATATGATTCGCTCGTAACATACACTGTTGGTTGTTAATACTTCCTCTGTCCTTAAATAGATTACAATTTTTTTCTCTCTCATTTCGATAATTTTTGTTTGTTTACGCGATTTCATTAAATATTTGATAAAATAAAATATTCTTGTCACCTCTTGTTTTGTAGAACTTTTGACGTAGTTTTTTAATATGTAATTTTTATATCTTATTGATAAAGCAATTTGTAAATAAAATGATTTCGAAAAATAGAAAATTTTACTCCGTAACCCGCAATTTGTAATCAAATTGTGGACGGATGGAGTATGTGATTTTACAATGTTTATCCTGTTTGTACATGTATTCTTCTTATGATAAGAAAAGGAGGGCATACATTTAAGATAAAGATTAGATTACTACTCCGTATTTCTTATTGAAATATTTGTACTAAATAATACTAAAATTTAAGTCAATTCTTTAAATAGCATTTAAATTATTTTATCCCTAATAATGTCGAGAAGGAGGAATAATGTCTACTGATGATGAACATTTACTTGAATAATGACTAATGAATAATGACTAAGGCCCCGTTTGGCATCATCTTCAGAGATTAGCGTTAGCGTTTTGAAAAAGCTATCCGACAGTAGCCTTTAGCGTTTTCAGAATTAATTTGCACCGTTAAAATTTTATCCAAAACGCTAACGCTAATCGAAGACGCTGTTACCAAACAAAGCCTAAAAGTGATACGTTGGGAATAAAACACATATGATGCTATTAAGGAAATATCATTATGTTTTAGTGCTATTTAAGTAAATCGTTATTAATTACCCTATCTTTGGTTCAAAGAATTTGAAAGGGAAAAAAAGAAAATGAAATGGAAAATTTGTTTTTTTTGTTTGTTTAGAGAAGAAAAAATAGGAAAAGTGGAAAAAAAGAAAATAAGAAGACAATGAATTAAAAGAAAGGAAAATTAAATTCTTTCCATTTTAGTGAGAAAAATAAGAAAAAATCATTTTTTTCCTTCTAAATTCATTGAACCAAACATAGTGTTAATGTTACACAATTTTCCTGTGATGATGATTTATGAGAAATTTACCTAAATAGGACTAAAATATAATGACTTTTCCAATATAGGACTATATGTTTTTATTTCCCAATGTAAGACCTTTGGTCATTATGAGTTAGTCATTATTCAACTAAATGTCCAGCATCACTTGGACATTATTCTTCTCACTAGTCATTATTTAGTCCTATTTAGGGAATAAAAAATTTAAGTCCTACATTAGGAAATGACTTATGTTTTAGTTCTATTTAGTGCAAATTTCACATGATTTATAGTGTGTAACTCTTTATCTTGTTTGTATAGTTATATCTTTAGGTAGTGATGATGCTTTCTAGCGTGTAAATTTATACTCCGTATTTTTTTATTTAAATGTTCTTATATGATCTGTGGTGTATAAAATTATACTTATAAATGTTCATTTTGGTTTGGAAATAATATATACATAGTTTTGGTATACTTTCCCAGTTATAAAAACTAATTTTGTTATGTCATCTCTATTTTTGTAGAACGCTTAATAGAGATTTAACATATATAAATTTTATTTTTTGATTTTACACTTACAATAAAATAAATTAAATTGAAATATTAAACGCTTGATAGAGTTTAATTGCACACTTAATTTTTTTTGGTTAGGCAAGAGGCGACCTGAGGCAAGGCTAAGGCGAGCGCCTCATTGCCTTAGGCGTTTTCAGGCTAGGCAACAAATATGGCATCTCAACAAACACGCCTAGGCTCTTAGGCGACGCCTAGGTAAATATGCACGAAGTACATTCACATCATTAAAAAAGCTGGCAAGAAGAATTTACTATAAGAAACTCTAACAGTTCTACAAAAGTATGTTTGCAGCCATTCACAGCCAAAATGATGTTCCGAAAGAATAAGTTAACAGAGATCCAGCTGTACCACTCTAATTAGGAAATGATTTTAGTGCTTCTCTTCTTCTGAAGAGGCAGCAAGCTAAAAGAGTAAAAGCAACTAGATCACAGCTTCTTCCGAAGATGCTGAATTAGTTTGTTGATTTTGTTCCGGTACAAAAAAGTGAAGGATGCTCTCTTTGGTTGTGCCCATCCAGGAAAGACATGGTAAGGTAGGAGCGGAGAAGACGATGTGTTTGTGGATCATTAAATTCATTACAATATACAAACAATGGTTTGCAAAGGGTGTAAATATAATATGCCCTACATTGTCTGTAGACTTACAGTTGTCCCTCGGGAAGCCCTTTACTTTTCTCGGTGTCCATAGAAGCTTTGTTTTTCATTCCTGGGGCCAGATGGGTATTCTAGTGAAAGCTTCAAATCCAAGTGGGATATTGTGGGTGACAATGTTTTTAACTCTATTCTAGAAATTTTCAACCCGAGAAAGCTAAATTTTCATAAATCACGTGAAAGGGTCGAGCTAAAAATTGGGAATGTAAGAGCTATAAGCATGAAAAAGATTGCATCACAATTTAACGTAAATCATCATAAGATTGTTAATGGCTTCACAACCATTTGACCACTGCAACAAAGTACTACATAGAACAACATAGAGTTCATCTTTTTTATACTCACAGACCACATAGGACCACCAACAATGCAAGCATAATTATGTTATGGATCCATACCCCAACACTTAAAACAGGCATACTTCAGCATTCCCGAACTTCAGCCATCTCTACCTGCATATTTTTAAAAAAAATGTATGATTAGATTATTTAGTTAGGTGTAGCTTATATATAATCTCATATGGGGACATCTTTATTACCTTAGGTGCTTCCCTAAACGCAAAGATGTGAAACTCGTCACCATGAACAGAGCGAAGCAGTTTGGCTTGGTAAGTTCCTAGTTTTCCAGATTCCATGGCCGTAAATGTGGCGAAATAGAAAGCAAGAGTACCAATAACCCTATTTGCCTTGACAAGTTTCACAAATTCAAGAGTTCTTCCTTTCTGCAGTGGTGGGATTTTTTGATCAGACAAAACGACAGCAAAAGTTTCTGACAAGACATATGATTTAGATAATAAAACACAATAAACCTTTTCCCTGAGATATGTGATCAATCTTTGAACAGCTAGGACGCAACCTTCATAAAAGAAATCGTCAGGTTCCAGAGATATTGGTCTCATGAGACCATAAACGAAAGGCTCTTCATAAAAGTGGGTAACATCATAGCCCTAAAGAAAACAGCAACCGAACATCAAAATCTGTATTCGCGAATGAATTGAAAGATGAAAAGAAAGATGAAAACTCACATCGCTGGCGAGAAATTCCTCCCTGTATTGTCTAAAGGATTTCTCGTCTTCAGGATCGGAGAAATCTTGATAATCAGGAGGAGTGTTTGTGGCTTCGCGACCAATGTATTCCACAATGGTTCCCTCATCGTCCTCGAATGTATCAAGAATGTGGGAGGAATCCTCCGAATCTACATAGGACTCCTCTGATTTGCCATCGTCGTCAACCTCCGCCAGGTTCCCCTCCCAAGCTGAATCGCATGTTCCCAAATCCATAGAAGCCATGGCTAGTTGGCTACTTCTTCTGATTCTAATTGCCCTAATCAATCGCGCTTCGATTTTCTTACTCCATCTTATATTCCAACTCTCTCCAAAAGGCCCATTGGACCTATGCCTAAGAAGGTTTTCAAAATACTGTGTTAGTTTTCGGATTTAATCCGGTTTGTGTAAAAAAACTGTTACTTTTAAAATGACTACTCCGTAGTATTTATCTATGGAATTTTAGTAACTTTTAAGAATGGAATTTTATGTCTCCCTCTGTCACTAAAATTCTGCATTTGTAACTTTGTATTTCACGCTTCTAACCTTCTGGAGTGTGGCTAAAGTTTGAGGGTGGGAGACATAGATGCTCATTTTTCAAACAGGGATGAAAATTTTTTTCCCTTTTTTTCCTTTTTGTTTCTTTTTTTCTTCTCTTTGTTTTCTTTTCAAAAACTCTTTTTTATGCTTCAAAATTAAAAAATGTTTATGTTTGAAATAAAAATCAAACGAAATAAAAAATTTACATATATTCCATCGGTCTTAAATTATACATTTCATTTTTTTGTTTTCTAAAATAAAAAGAAAAACTTCTTATTGTGACGTTCAAGAAAATAAAACAAAGAATAGCAAAAGGAAATGAAAATAGAAAAAGAAGCAAAAAAATACTCCAATAGAAAAGAGAAAGCGTAGCCATGAAGTGAGTTGATAATTTTATTATATCAATATAAACCTCATTATACGTCGTAATTGAATCCTTATAAAATATTAGTGTGGAAATGGTAAATGACAATATCATATTTATATTTTACTGATTCTTTCTATAACATAATTAATTCCATATATTTTATCATAATGATATTCAAATTTATTCTATTTCCCTTAATAAGTTTATTATGTACAATACCATATTTATCTTTCACTAATTTTGATCATTAATATTATTAATTTTATTACACCATAATAGCTAAATAAATTCATTTCTATTCATAAATAAAAGAGATAATTACTCGTAAGTTGTTGTAAAGTAGTAAATTCTTTATTTGTTCTAAAGATGTTTAATCTAAATTTATTCAATAGTTTGAGACAATTCTAAATATGTTATGTAAGCATAATTAAGAATATTTTTAAATTTATCATTATTATTAGAGTTTTACATTTGAGATCTGTGTTTGGTTGACATTTGTACTACTAAGATGCTATAAATTAATTGATCTTGTATTATATTTTTTATAAAAAAATCAATAGTTTTGGCCGTGATAAGAAAAATTAAGTACCCTGAGTATTAATCAATTGAAAGATTTTTGTTTTAAATTTCGGTTGGTTAAATCAAAAGAATTTGAGTAAGATAAATGTACTCTAATGTAATATATAGATGTAGATAAATGAAAAAAATTTCAAAAGAAAATATATTTATTCATTTTACATCATTATAAATAGCCTTTAGAAAAATATGGAGGACGCTCCCCCCGAATCTGCTCTACTCCTTACTATAACTTTGCCCGACTCACATTTGTTCTTAGACCTCCCAGTGCTTAACTTGTCGAAAAAATGCCACATAATTTATCCAAATATTAATATCTGTATCCTTATATATGGATACTTTTATTCCACATCAACTGTAATAATTTTATTTCATTATATAATTAATTGTATTTATACACTTAATGTATAGTGAAAAATGAAATTTTTTAAAAATTATGTGGAGTATAGTTTATTTTTTCAATCTTAAAAAAACATAAATTTACTGTATATAATTTTATTATAAATAGCATAACTTAAGAGGACAATATAAATATAATTTAGTACCATCATAATTATAAACACTTACCATATTTAAAAATTGGCTAGTGATTGCTAATAAATGAAATATAATATTGACTAGCTTTTTTATAATATGTGTTCGCTTAGTTGTGTGCTTATTTGTCAAAATTATGCCACATAAGCTTTCTAATAAGGGCATGTTTGGGAATAGTGTTAGAGATTAGCGTTAGCGTTTTGAATAAAATTTTAATGGTGTAGATTACTTTGAAAATGGTAACACTAAATGCTGCCCGTAGATAGCTTTTTCAAAATGCTAACGCTAATCACTAACGCTATTCCCAAACAGGCCCTAAGTATGCCATAATAAGTGTGTCATTAATGAATCGTCGGGTTTGTAAGACCAATACTTTCTTGAAGGATAAAAACCTTCTCAAGGATGCTTTTGATTTATCTGTTCGAAAGCTCGACTTCGCCATTTGTTTGCGGGAGGTACGAGGTCGAGAGTCAGTTTAACACCCTAATCCGTCTAGGTTTGCAGCCCCTTTCAGACTAAAGTATAAAGTTGGTATTCGTAAACATTCAAAATATTTCAAACATTGTAACATTTTATTTCATGATAAAGTAATCAGAATAATAACAAAGTATTTAAAGTTGCGAAAGCTTAATAAATCACAATTACAAGCATAATAAATTTATGTCTTTTAAAGCAGTAATTTGAATTCACACATCCATCCCCACCATCTCGCTCCATCTGCCTCCAAGAACTCATCACTTCATTCTTTTTGTTTACCTGTGTGTAACAAATAAAGCATACTACACGCTCAGCATTGAAGCTGAGTAAGAATACCTAATGCGTTGAGCATCCATATAAATGGAATCTCAATTCATAGTTAAATCATTTGATATCGTACACATAATTAATGTTCAGTTCAGACGTTTAATAATCAATATACAACATTCAATATTCAATACTCATATTCATATTCAACATTCAGCAACAATATTTTTAAACTATTCTTAGTATAATGCCAATTTCTTTAATATTTACCAACTCTTAAACTAATTCTAACTCAAGGCACTTCTAACAAACTCTTAAACTATATTCTAGTTTAAGGTACTCCTTACCAACTCTTAAGATATGCTAGTTTAAGGTATAATTTTTAAAATGGTTTTCCAACTCTTAAACTAGCCTTTGCTTAAACTACAATCAGAAATAGAACAACGGACTACTCACTGTTGGGTTGGTTGGTATCCCCAAACGAGTAGGTACTCAAGTTTGGTTTGTGGATCACGTACATACGTTTTAACCCTGACCATCAGACATCATACCCGCAAGCCTTAACTAAATGGGTAGATCTTAGAGTTCTTCTAGATACCCATAAAATCAACATTAAATACTTAAATGGGTATGTCTTAGGGTTTCTAAATATCTTTAATAAAACACATCATTTTCATAATTATCAATATATCCATTTTTAGTTATGATTTAATCAATCATAATCATTACTTTAATCAGAATATTCACTAAAGTTTAATCATCATAATCATCAATCAATAATAATCATCATAACCATTAATCAATAATAATATCTAATAACAAATAGCGGCCCAGCATCGAGTGTGAACATCCAAGCTTATCGACATACATCACATAAGATTTTATTTATCAAAAACATCATTTTTATTTCAAGAAATCATCTTTATATTGATCATAATTGATTGGTATCAAAAATTGGATTTAAGAGCTCAAAAAATAGTATTTTTCAGAAAAGTTTTCGGATCAATAAGCTCGGGGGATCGATCCACCCCTGGTGATTGATCACCCGAAGAATTCTGTCTACTGTTCATCGTCTTCTTGTTTGGGTCCATTTTCGAAAAGATCATTTTTAGTCACCAAACTTCAATTAAACCATATAGAAATTTTCTCCAATGTTCATAAATCACTTTGGTATCATTAGTTCGTAGTTTTAACAACAATTTCAAGGTTTGTGATTCTTGGTTCTTCAAGCATGTCAAACACAAAACTCAACCAAATGATCGTTTATGAACGTAGAAACGATCTATAAGAACATCCTTGTCACTAAATTTATTTACGGGCTTACCTTGAGCTTAAACAGAGGTTTTGGAAATTTTCTAGTGAAACTTTCGGCAATGATTTCTTCCAACTTCAGCGACCTCGGCGGCAACCAACTATTGCAGAATGCTCTCCCCACTCTCAAGATTCTAATGGGATTAATTTCAGAAAGAATGGTGAAGAAATGGGAAGGATGGAGTTTCCTTTTATAGGGAGAGCTTGGAGAAGTGACAACCAATTGCTGCATCATTTGTGATTCACAATCGCCGTAGTGGAGGAGGAGACACCGTTTGTAGATTTCTTCCCTGATTGGGACTAATTTGATCCCAGTCGGGGTATACATTTTAGTCCAACTTTCTCCGAATTAAAATCCATTTGCACAATTGCAATCATTAAATCGAACTCTATCCAATGACATAATTTTTATATTTATTTGTAATACTCTTTCTGTCATCGTATTTTTGGGTGTTTGACTTTGACAAGTTAAAATTGATTTAATTGACATTTATTCAAAAAGGTTCTCACATTTATTTCACATCATTGATTCTCATAATTTATTTCAATTAATCATTTCAAAGTTCAAATCATAAACAAATTCTTTATTTATTCTTAATTTGTGTCTGTACTCGGATTTCCAATCACGATTACACAAATAGTCAACATATTGGATTGATATTGGATATCAAGACATATTTCATTTCGGCCCAAAGCCTAACAATAATTTATTTTAATCAAAACAAATTTGTTTAATTGAATAATATTTCATTAAAAATTTTAGGGTATGTTTTGAGGCGTTACAGGTTTCGCCGCCGCATCACCAATTTCGTGGCCCCCTCCGTCATACTCCTTCACGCATCGCCACCGACAAACGCTTCCAGTGCCACTCCGCTCCAAATCAACGCGTGAGCGAGTTTAACGGGACAATTATCCCAGATTTCAATGCCACCTCATATAACGGACTATCTTTAGAATTTATTCAAATAAAATAAAAGCATACTCCCTCCGTCCCAGAGTATCGTTCACTTTTATTTTTTTTTGAAAAATGATAAATTTTGACTTTAAATTAAATAAAAATGATATTAAATACTGATAAAAAATATTTTTAATAGATTTATTATATAAAATATTATTTTATCTAATTAATATACAATATACATTTTATTTAATTTTAGTTTAATAGTTGAAAATACTCCGTAATTGATAAAAAAAATAAAAAACTGAACAAATAGAGGGACTCAGTACATATAAAGGAAAGAATCGTACATATAAAGGAAAGAATCGAGTAGTTTCTCGAGTACTTTCGTCCTTAGTTCGGTCTCTCTCCCAATTGAGCACGCGACGACACGGACAGCCACATCACCATCTCTCCCAATTCCAATTGCGAAAAAGAAAAAGAGTCTCTGGAATCCTTAGCGGAGAGATGAATGAGAGGGACCAAGAACGAAGTAAAGTCAAAATATAAAGTTAATTTTAGGATGAATGAGAGAGACTCCGATTTGAAGATCCAGTCGGGGATATGCTCTGTTTGAAATTTGAAGATGGAAATTGGAATAGGATGGATCCAAGAACGACGTAAGGTATGGCCTCTGGATCTGTTTTCATTCATGTGTTTCGAAGCTCAGATATATATAAGCACTAGTCGTTCACTCTGCTCTCTCTCTCTCTCTCTTGGTTTTCGTTTTCTTTCTTTCTTTGTTAAAGTTTTCTAATTCTCTTTGTAATCAAGACATCAAGTGCCCAGTGCCCTAAACTTGTAGCTTGTTTTCTATTATGACTTTTGAATACTTAATACATTTTTTTGCCACAAAAAATTTAGGATCCAATAAACAGTGTACGTTTCAACTCAGATTGAATTTTTGACTTTGAAGTTTGTAAGTTATGAATAAAAACTAGATGTCCTGATTAAACACCGTCCGGATCAGGGCATTGGAAAAAGCTGTCACTCCAAATGTTTTATTGTATGCTTCTCTCTGTTTGTAGGGATAATCATGCTTAGTGTCACTCTTTGAGTCCATTCCTAAAAGCAGCTTCTCTTACTAGAGAGCTTTTTGCAGATAATATTTTTTTTTATAGTTTGTTGAAGTTAATTATGCTAACCTTTTGATTTTTATTGGCAGTCTCTGTAGAACTAAATGTGTATTCTTTGAATCCCTTTTTAAAATCAACTTCTCTTACTAGAGAGTCTTTGCAACTTATATATTTTTATAGTTTGTTGAACTTAATTATGCTAAAGATTTGGTTTTTATTGGATGTCCCTGCTAAATTGGATGTGAATTGATAGCTTTGATGCAGAATGTTTGTTTTTTATATTTTGAATCCCTTTCTAAGATCATCTTATCTTTGCAACATTGTTGAAGTCAATTTTGCTAAAGATTTGATTTTTATTGGATCTCACTCTTAAACTAGATGCGAGTCAAAAGATTTGATGCTAAAGGTTTGATTTTTATTGTTTGAATCCCTTTTTAATATTGCAACTTATATTTTTTAAGATTGTTGAAGCTAATTACGCTAAAGGTTTGATTTTTATTGGATGTCGCTGTTAAATAGACGTGAATTGAACGATTTGATGCTAAAGGTTTGATTTATTATTGTTTGAATACCTTGCTAAAATCAGCTTCTCTCACTAGTTGCAACTTATATATTATTGCTTGCTGAAGTTTATTATGCTAAAGATTTGATTCTTATTGGATGTCGACATTAAACATGATGTTAATTGAACAATCTAATGCTATAAGGTTGATTTTAATTGTTTGAATCCCTTTATCCAATCAGTTTCTCTTACTAGAGACACTTTGCAACTTATATTTTATAGCCTGTTGAAGTTAATTTTGCTAAAGATTTGGTTTTTAATTGAAATCGTTGTTGAACAAGATGTGAATCGAAAGCTTTGATGCTAAAGGTTTGATTTTTATTGTTTGAATCCCTTTCTAACATCAGCTTCTCTTCCTAGTGAGTCTTTGCAACTTTGTTGAACTGAAGTATGCTAAAGATTTGATTTTTATTTGTTGTTGTTAAAGTAGATGTGAGTCGAAAAATTTAATATCGAAGGTTCGATTTTTATTGTTTGAATCCCTTTCTTATATGCAGCTTATATTTTTAAAGTTTGTTGAAGTTAATTCCTCCAAAGATTTGATTTTTATTGGATGTCGCTATTAAACTAGATGTGAATCGAAAGATTTGATGCTAAAGGTTTGATTTTATTGTTTGGATCCCTCTCTAACACCAGCTTTTTTTACGAGAGGGCCATTGCAACTTATGTTTTATACTTTTTTGAAGTTATTTATGCTTAAGATTTGATTTTTAATAGATGTCAATGTTAAACTGGATGTGACTCAAAAGATTTGTGTGGATTTTCATTGTTTGATTCCCTTAAAATTTTTGAATTTTGAATCACTATTTGAAACTCTATGTGTATAAAAAAATGTGCTTATTGAATTACGGAGTATTATATTACTGCCATAGTCAAGTTTGTTTTAGTTTTTGAAGACATTATAGGGTAAACTTTATTTGAACTACCATTTGCATTCAAAATACTCTTCTTGGCTAACATATCTATCATATGCATTATATGGCAAACTTTATTTTGAGATGTAGGGAGCATAAAACCATAGTTGATTACTTTATTTTATTAAACAAGAAACATTGTGATGTTTTTATGTTTTATACTACTTCCTCCGCTCCTAAAAGATTGCCAGAGTTTGACTTTTTTGGTCAAAAAATGACACCTTTTGACCGTAAACTATGCAAAAATATATTTAGTTATAATGTAAGTTTAATAAAATAAGGTTTATTTTAAAATATACTTTTGAAATATCATTGTTTATAATATTTAATTATTTAAACTATATATAATTCATGGTTAAATGGTGCCACAATTTGACCAAGTCAAACTTGGAAATCTTTTAGGGACGGAGGGAGTATGTTTTTAGAAAATTCTTTTAAAACCAGAAATATTTGTAAAAGATTGTTTTTACAATTAGGAGTTCCTCTTTCCCACTCTTTTTGCATGTTTGCCCAGATCCTAGATTCATGCCCCCCCCCCCCCTTCTAAATTTTAAGAACCTTTTCAAGATAGTTATTCTTGGATTTTGTTTGGTGGTTTATCAACCCAAGTAGGATTTGACTATTCGGGTTGAAACTTAGATTGCCAATCGCTTTTCTATTTAGACCAGCTTTTAATGTTCATGTTTTCCATTTTTAATATGTAGTGGTGACTATATGGTCCTGTGACACATATTAAATGGATACGTATAAATGTTCATCGGGAGAAGTACATGTAGGGAGCTGTATTTGGGAAATTCGGAGTTCGGCATAAAAATAAACAAGATGGAACTCAGTAAATAAAATTTCTACAAATTCGTCATCATACCGACAGAAACAATATATATTTATTATTTTCCTTTTGTACTTACTCAAAGTTTATTGTTTTGCTGTCGTGCTTGAAATTTATGAATTTTGAATCACTATTTGTATTGAAAATGCTCTTTAAGGAATTATAATTTGACTAAGATGATAAAGTTTGTTTTAGTTTTGGAAGTCATTATAGGGTAACTCAATTTTGAGCTAGCATTTACGTTAAAAATACTCTTCTTGACTAACTTATCTATCCTTTGCCTCATAGGTAATCCTTATTTTGAGACTTAGAGAGTGTAAAACCATAGCTGATAGCTGATATTTTACTCCTTGCCTCACCCACATATCTTCCCATGAGCCATTTCATTCATCCGCCATAGATCTTCATGTTTCACCTTTTAACACTTACAATATCCCTCTTTCTCTCCTCTTCTTTTCTCTCTTTGTTTTTTCTTTTCCTCTGCCATTTTCATTTCTTTCTTTTTTTCTCTCTTCCTTTCCTATTTCTTCTTCTTCTCCCCTCACTTTCTTCTTCCTCTTTTCACCCTTTTTTCTTTGTTTTCCTTTTTCTTCTTTTTTATCTTCTTTTACTAGAGTGTCTTTGCAATTTTGTTGTAGTTAATTATTCTAAAGATTGGATTTGTATTGGATGTCACTGTTAAACTAGATGTGAGTCAAAAGATTTGATGCCAAAACGTTTGATTTTTATTGTTTGAATCCCTATTAAAATTGTTACTTATATCTTTCAAGTTTGTTGAAGTTAATTACGCTAAAGATTTGATTTTTATTGGATGTCACTTTTAAACTAGATGTGAGTTGAAAGACTTGATACCAAAGGTTTGATTTTTATTGTTTGAATCCCTTTCTAAAATTGCTGCTTATATTTTTAAAGTCTGTTGAAGTTAATTACGCTAAAGATTTGATTTTTATTGGATGCCGCTACTTAACTAGATGCGAATCCGACGATTTGAGGCCAAAGGTTTGATGTTAATTGTGTGAATCCCTTTCTAATATCAGCTTCGGTTACTAGAAGGTAATTGCAACTTATATTTTATAGTTTATTGAAGTTAGTTATGCTAAAGATTTGATTATTATTGGGCGTCAATGTTAAAATGGATGTTTACCGAAAGATCTGGGTTGATTTTATAGTTTGAATCCCTTTCTAGAATTAGCTTCTCTTACTAGAGTCTTTGCAATTTATATTTTTTAGTTGACATTAATTATTCTAAAGATTTGGTTTTTATTGGATGTAGCTGTTAAACTAGATGCAAATTGAAAGTTTTGATTCTAAAGTTTTTATTTTTATTTTTTGAATCCCTTTCTAATATCATCTTCTTTTACTAGAGTGTCTTTGCAACTTTGTTGAAGTTAATTATGCTAAAGATTGGATTTTTTTGGGATGTCTCTATAAAACTAGATGTGAGTCGAAAGATTTGATGCTAAAAGGTTTAATTTTCTTGGTTATTCATTAACTAAAGTGCAGGGCTTTAAATAGCCAAAAACAATCAGGAAAAATATCTAAAAAAGAGCTGTTGTAACTGCTCCTAAATAATAGGCCTCTAACCAACAGCCCACTAACCACTAACAACCCCTAACTTCTAGCTAACAACTAGGAGATTGTTAAAGACAAAAGACTAATTCAAATAAAGACTAATTTAAACCATCAGAATAAATAAATTATTCAACATCCCCACAGCCTGGACCGACCATGATCACTTTCTAACACCACCCCTTGATCATGGTCCCTTCACACCAACTCTCTCTCTGAAAAAGTCATGCTTAGCTTGGTTGAGTGCTTTAGTGAATAAGTCTGCATCTTGAGCTCCACTTCCACAAAATACGGGCCTGATCACACCATCACTCACCAACTTTTTAATGAAGTGGTGCTGCACCTCAATATGCTTCGTTCGGGCATGGAATACTGGATTTCTGATCATGGCTATTGCAGACCTATTATCACACCATAGGTCTGTAGCCTCCCTTTGAACACAATCCATATCACTCAGCAATTTCCTCAACCACACAATCTGTTTAGCTGCAGCACCGGCAGCAACATACTCTACTTCTGTTGAAGATAAAGCTATGCAATCCTGCTTCATAGAACTCCATGTAATAGCTCCAGACCCAAGGCTGAAAACTGAGCCTGATGTACTCGTCCAAACTTCCAGCCCAATCACTGTCACAGTAGCCCCTTAGTCTGAAGTCCTCAACTCTCTCATACCACAAGCCATGAGTTAGTGTGTAGTTCACATATTTCATGATTCTCCTTGCAGCTCCAAAATGAATTTTGGAAGGAGAATGCATGAACCTTGAGACCAAACTAACACTAAAAGAAATATCAGGCCTGGTATGAGTGAGATAGTTTAGGCCGCGCACCATGCTCCTATACTCTGTCTCGTTTGCCAAGTCTGCTCCATCTTCTCTTCTTAGCTTCTCATTGGTGTTCATAGGGGTCTTTGACACATCAGATTCCCCTATCTTGAACCTCTGAGTAGCTCCTTTGCATACTTTTGTTGGTGAAGAAAGATCCCATCTTTGTCTTGCCTTATCTCCAAACCTAGGAAATAGCTCAGCTTGCCAAGGTCAGTCATCTCAAACTCTTGCATCATCCTCTTCTTGAAATCTGCTAACATGACTTGAGAAGAGCTTAGGTAGATGATGTCATCTACATAGACACACACAATCAGGAAATCTTTAGCTTCACCTTTCTTCATGTAGAGAGTGGGTTCATTCTCACTTCTTCTGAACTGATTTTGAAGAAAGAATGAATCCAGCCTCTCATACCATGCTCGAGGGGCTTGTTTAAGCCCATATAGAGCCTTCAGAAGCCTGTAAACCTTGCTCTCCTCTCCTTCACATAGCCCTTTGGTTGCTCAACAAATACCTCTTCTTGCAACTCTCCATTCAAAAAGGCTGACTTAACATCCAATTGATAAATGCTAAGTCCCCATTGTGCTGCCAAGGCCAAAACAGTCCTGTTTCAAATCTGACCACAGGAGAAAAAGTCTCCTCATAGTCAATTCCCTCCTTTTGTGCATAGCCCTTCACCACCAACCTTGCCTTATATTTGTTTATTGAACCATCAACATTGTACTTGGTTCGATAAACCCACTTAAGGCCAATTGGTTCTTTACCCTCGGGCAAATCAGTTAGGACCCAAGTTTGGTTCCTAATGATTGCTCCCATTTCAGCATCCATAGCCTTCTTCCACTCCTCCTTCCTGATTGCCTCCTCAAAGCTCTGAGGCTCACTGCATATTAAGGCAAAACCACATTCCTCCTGTTCTGCTCTGTCATACACTTCAGCTACCTCTCTGATTCTGTGGTCTGGAACAGGGTTTGGTGAAGAGTCATACCCTGCATAAGGCACTAGGCACTGGAGACAAACCGGGTGAGGGTGAACTTGAGCTTGAACTTGGGCTGCCTTGACTCTGGGGTGTAAGAGATCCATTTGACCCATTTGAAAGGTTTGATTGGGCTGGAACCTATTCCAGTGAGTCTTCTCCATTGCTCAAAAAGATAGGCCTGTCATGGTAAGTGCCAACATTTCCCCAGTCCCATCTAGCCTCTTCATGAAATATGACATTCCTACTTACAATAATCTTCCTACTAGTTGGATTAAAGAGCCTATATGCCTTAGACTCTAGAGAATAACCAATGAAAATACATTTTTCAGCCTTGCTGTCCAACTTAGTTCTAATAGGAGTTAGAGTGTAGGAAATACAACCAAATACTCTAAGATGGCTTACATTGGGTTTCTTCTTCCTCCATGCTTCAAAAGGAGTCTTGTTGTGCACGGTTCTGGTGGGAGATAAGTTGAGCACATACACGGCAGTGGCAACTGCTTCTCCCCACAAATAGGTAGGCAACCCTTTTGCTTGCAACATACTCCTTGCAAGCTGCACCACAGTCCTATTCTTCCTTTCCGAGACACCATTTTGCTTTGGTGTATGGGGGGCAGTGAGTTCCCTTCTTATCCCTCCTTTCTCACAAAAGCTCACAAACTCTTGTGAGAGGAACTCCCCCCCTCTGTCAGTCCTTAAGGCCTTAATCTTCAACCCTGTTTGGTTTTCAACCAGGGCCTTAAAGATGGTAAACTTCTCAAAAGCCTCTGATTTGGCTTTCAAGAAGTAAACCCAACTGAACCTACTCTTGTCATCTGTCAAAAGGAAGAAATACCTGCTGCCTCCTAGTGATATGGTTTTCATAGGCCCACACAAGTCTGCATGGATGAGCTCTAGGCACTCCTTAGCCCTCCATTCACTTTCCGCTGGAAAGGCCTCTTTGACTGCTTCCCTTGGACACAAGCCTCGCAAAAACTGAGGTCACCAATCTGACCCAAACCATAAACCATTTCTTTTGCCTTCAGCAGCTTCAACCCTTGTACTCCTAGGTGACCATATCTCAAGTGCCACAGATCAGCTTCTTGCACCTTGCTTGCTACCAAAGCTCTTTCTACTGCTGGATTTAGATCAAGTGCAAACATCTTATTGCTTGCCATCTTGACCCTTATCACCACTTCACTTGACTTGTCTCTGATAACACATTCATTCTTCTCAAATGTGACTGAATACCCATTTGTCACCAATTGGCCAACACTTAACAGGTTGTGTGCCAATTTAGGGACAAATTGGACATCATGGATGGCCTTTTGCTTGCCTCCTTCTCCTACCACTGAGATGATCCCCTTTCCTTCAACAGTGAGTTTCTCACCATTTCCAATCCTCACCAAGCCTTTCTTGGACTCATCAAGCTGCTTGAAAAGACCTTTGGCACAAGACATGTGGTTTGAGCACCCACTGTCAAGGTACCAAATACAAGTGTTGTTGATTTGCTTTCCTTCACTCTTAGCCAGGAAGAGACTCTCTTCTTGTTGAGCAAAGTTGGAGTTCTCACCCTTCTTTTCTTCATCTGCTTCCTTCTTCCAACATTGAGCTTCCTTGTGGCCCGGTTTCTTGTAATAGAAACACTTAAAGTTCCTGGACTGGTAAGAATGTTGCTCCTTATTCTCACCAGATTGCCCTCTACCTCTGCCTCTGCCACGGAAACTACCCCTGCAGCCTCTGCCTCTTCCACGAGTGGCTTGTTGCTTCTCAGCCTTGGCTTGAAAAGCCTTCTCTTCCTTCTTATCTTCACCCCTGAACTGCATTCTTTCACCATGTACGTGTAGAGACCCTACCAAATCATCAAAGGTATAGGTCTCTAGGTCCTTGGGACTCCTCAGTAGTTGTGACAACATGATCAAAGCGCTTGGTCATGCTTCTGAGCACCTTACTCACAACTTGTGAGTCGTTTACATCCTCTCCATATGACCTCATCTTTTGCACAATGCCGGTAACCCTTGAGAGGTAATCTTCCACACTTTCATCCTCCTTCATCATGGCCGTCTCGTACTCCCTCCTTAGGGACTGCAACTTGACCAGGATTGTCCTCTTATCTCCACGATACTCTTGCTTTAGAGTATCCCACACCTGCTTTGACGTCATGGCTGATGCTATCCTTGGGAAGATGGTGTCATCCAAAGCCTGTTGGATGATGAAAAGGGCCTTGGCGTCCTTCTTCCTCTTTTCCCTCAAGGTAGCATCTCCTTCACCTCCACCTTCTGGCTCGGTGTACCCTTGTTCCACAAGAGTCACTCTTGTGACTTAAACAAGGTCACCATCTTCAAGCTCCAGAAATGATAATTGTCTCCTTTGAAGATGGGCCAGCTGCGGCATCCCATTTCCAGATCCGTTTCCATCCATTTTCTCTCAAACTAGTGTTTAGAGGATCTTTAGCTCTCACCTCACACCCAAGAACAACCCAGAACTCTCAAAAACTGAGATGCTTTGATACCAAATGTTGAGTTTTGGATCAGGAAATTAACAGATTTTTAGCCTAGATTTAGATGATAAGAGAGGAAGAGAGTTGGAGAATTTTCTTGGTTATTCATTAACTAAAGTGCAGGGCTTTAAATAGCCAAAAACAATCAGGAAAAATATCTAAAAAAGAGCTGTTGTAACTGCTCCTAAATAATAGGCCACTAACCAACATCCCACTAACAACTAACAACCCCTAACTTCTAGCTAACAACTAGGAGATTGTTAAAGACAAAAGACTAATTCAAATAAAGACTAATTTAAACCATCAGAATAAATAAATTATTCAACATCCCCACAGCTTGGACCGACCATGATCACTTTCTAACAGACAATGTTTGTTACCCCTGACGTCCCTTGAACCTCAAATGGCAGAGCCGCGAGCTTTGTCCAGTGTTTAGTCAAGTGTCACCCCCTAAAATCAATATAAAAGAAGGATTATTGTTTATAGACATGAACACCTTGCTAGTACAAATATTTCACGAGTGATATACCTCCGGAATCCAAAAGAACCTAAATAGAGACTTCCCTTTATTGCTCGAACATCTTAACACTTTTCCAAACCCTTGGTCACACCATTTCTTCCCATGGGAGTTTCTTATGGTGAAGTAATTCTCCCCTCTTTCGGTAGTACCATAACCTACTATAATCACCGCATGCATTTCGGCCTCTTGAGATTCAGTTTTCTTTTGTGAAGCTCTTGGTGTTTGTTCCCCTTTGTAGATATCCTATACACAAAGTATCTTTAGAGTTAATTGTCTATTTTCTTTTTAAACCGATACATTTTAATTTTTATATCTCACCTCTTTCTTCAATTCAAAAAACTCTTTTGATACGTCCATGACACCAACAACTGGACCTGTTTGTAGCTCTTCTATTATTGACTTTTCATCATGGCCCTTGATGGTGTGGACACTTCCAATTCTTAGTGTCTAAATGATAAGAAGAGAAAATAGAGGCTCTAAGAAAGCAAAAAGAAATCTAATTTGTCATAAATTAACCAAAAAATAAAGATGTTGATTAGGTGGGATTTGGGCTCCCAATAGATGATCTTTTGAGCTTTTGGAAGAAATGATAAATTTGAATGCTGACTAGTTTTTTTAAAAACTACCCATTACCTTGGTCTTCTTCTTGTTTGATTTGTTTTTGTAGTCTTTTTCCAAACAAACTCCTTCGCTCTGAAGCCACTTCTCTGGTTGTTTAAACGACGACATATCATCTCTGCCTTTATAAATGTTCTTAATCATATCTTGGACTGAAAATACTTGTGTTTCACATTCTCTTTGAGTTATATTGTATCTTCCTTCGCAAGTTCCAACTGTTGCGTGTGCAACACATGTGTCTGCTTTGAAAAATGCAAAGTTGAACATTACTATTATAATTAAAAGACACTTGAAAATAAGTGGAAGAACATGAGGCATATGACTATAGATACAATTCATGAATGACTTTATTTTCTTCAGTTCTAATACCCATTACTGTTCCTGCCCACAACTTAATCCTACTAATGGTTCACGACATTTTATTAATTTGTTGATATACAATTTAATTGTAGTGGGAGGATTTCCTGTGCAGTTGTACAATCTTATTTTTTGAAACGGTCATGTGTCTGTTAGATTTTGATTTGCTTTAAAGCTTACAGTGGTGCTGTTATATTTTAAAACTGAATAATCCTACTAATGGTTCACGAACATGAGGCGCATTCTAAGGCACCGGTAGAATTTCTAGTATATCTACATTAGTGTGTGTGTGTGTGTGTGTGTATATATAATTTTGAAAAGCATAATAAAGGTTAAAGAAACAAATGTTTAAAAAACAGAATAATATAAAAACAGAGAACAATATGTATAAAAAAACCAATGAAAAACAGAGAAGGACTTGCCCAGTAGAAAGAAGAGAAACCAGCGAGAGGAAACATATCGTAAGGAAGAGAGCCAACTTGCTTCTGCCACTTGCCCAGTAGGTGTGCCGGTTTGGAGAAGGGGGCTTTTCATTTACAAAACATTTTTTAATAGTAATTGGTTTTTAACAAATGAAATTTAAACGACTTTCTCAAAACACAACTAATTATGAAAGTTGGCTTCTAACAATATAATTGTTTAAAAGGTGGCTTTCCAAAGTACATCTTAATGTAACAGTTGATTTTTTAAACCAAACATAATTGAAGAAGATTTTTTTTAAAACAAATTGGAGTACCTTTTTACAACTCTATTATTATGTTGCCTGGATCAAAGTAATTCTCTGCTTCCATTTTCTTTGTATTGTAGTTCTCTAGAGCCTAGATGCAATCCCTCCCTCCCCCTTCTAAATTTTAAGTGCCTTGTAAGATTTTCATTCCAGGATTTTGTTTTGGTGGATTATCAAAATATTTAGGGTTTGACAATGTGGGTTGAGATTCAGTAGTTCTCCATATAGTTAGCTTTTAATGAATGTGGTTAAAATTTCCGTTCTAAAGGCTGTGTTTCGTAGCCATATTTGGCTTATATGTCTTATCCACATATTTTAAATACTCCCTCCATCCCCCTGTATTTGTCCACTTTCATTTTTACACACCATCCAATGCACTTCTTTAATGCACTTCTTTAATTCATTTTATCTTGTAATTTGTATATTAAAAAATTATAAAAATTATATATTAATAATCTATATGTTAAGACAAACCAAACAAGATCACACATGACTATATTTAGACTTACACATTGAGAGAATTTGATGAGTCAAAGTACTAAGATGAACAGTTCTAAAAGTCAAATGTGGACAAATACAGGGGGACGGAGGGAGTATGTAGCTTATGACTAATTTGTCCGAAGTTGAGATTACCAAACACATTTTTGTCTAGTGTCTACGGTGTAAACCAACAAAAGAAAAAAAAAGAGATTTTGGACTTCGGTTTAGCGTCGTATTGTTTCTTTATTGAGTGCATTTCTTCTAATTCCTATAGTAAGTGGGACGACTATTGTTTGGAGCATTCCATAAGGCATCACTACATTTGTTATGTGGTGCTTCTTTCAGTCCATTACAAGGCTTGTACCGTTCCTGCACACAACATAATGGCTTACACCGTTCCTGCACACAGCATAATGGCTTATACCATTCCTTCTCACAACAATGTCACTATTGGTTTATGAGGTTTTGTAAATTTGTCAAAATACAGTTTGCTAATAGTGGGTATATGTCACGTGCAGTTGTATGGACTTATTTTCTAAAAAAGGTCATGTGTTTTTCAGAATTTTATTTCTTTTAAAGATTACAATGGTGCTCTTATATTTTTAAATGGAAGATCAAATGCCACGTGCACTTAGGGATCAAATGAAGTCAGGTTTGTTTCAAAAGACATGAATTTCATACAAGTGGATAATGTAGATAGAACATGATTCGCTTGCAATATTATGCCCGCAAAATTTCTTTTTCAGATGCTCTCAGTCTTAATGTCCATAATTTGTCAACGCTTTTTCTCTAGTTCTGTTATTTGAAAAAAACAAATAACCCCCTCACCCCACAGATGTGCCCAATCTATGAAGTTTCTTTTTTATATCGCTCACTCTTTATTTGTTTGTTGTTAATGCTGATCCCATGTACTCCGTATTTCTTATGTCTTTTCCATTGTTGTCCCTATGCGAAAAGTTTGTCCCCTGACACCATGTAATGTATATGTATATGTGTTCACAGGGAGAAGTGCATGTTGTGGGCTTTATTTGGAGTTTTTTGAGTCCAACACACAAGGAAAAACACAAGATCTCAAAATGGGTAGAACCAACAGAATAGAACTCGGTCAATAAAATATTTACAAATACTCCTTAATACAATATCAACATTATATCACACGAAATATTCTATCCCCTTCGTACTAACCTGAAGTTTTTTGTTTTACCTTTGTGCTTAAAGTTTAAGAATTTTAAACCACTATTTTCTTTAAAAATCCTCTTATTGAGTTATAGTTTGGCTAACATAATTAAGTTTTTTTTAAGTTTTGGAAGACATTATTGGGTAAACTTTATTTTGAACTACGATTTTCATTAGAAGTACTATTCTTGACTAACATATCTTTTCTTTGCTGTATAGGGTAATCTTTATTGAGAGTATAAAACCATAGTGGATTATTTTATTAAAGAAGAGAAATTGTGACATTTTAATGTTTTATACTTGTTTTTTGGGTATTTCCTTTTCAAATATATTTTTATGAAACAATTTTCAATGTTTGACTTTTCATTTACAAAGCAAAATTTTACAGTAATTGTTTTTTAACAAATGCACTCAAATGACTTTCTCAAAATGCAACTAAATATGGAAGTTGGCTTTTGAGTGAAATAATTGTTTAAAAGGTGGCTTTCCAAATCAGATCTTATTATAAAAACCAATTTTCAAGACAAACATTTTGCAGAAGAATATTTCTACAATTATGAGTACTTTTTCCAACTCTATTATCATGTTACCCTAGATCAGGGAAGCTTCCCAGGTAGTTCTCTAGACTTAGATACATGCCCTCCCCCCTTTAAATTTTAAGAACTTTTTGAATATTCTCATATTTTAATTATGTACTCTGTCTGAGATTATGTTGGCTGTTTATTATACATGGTCAAACATTATTTATTTTCTTTCCCTATTTTTGTTGCTCATTTGATTATATAGTATAGTCTTGTCACCTCTTGTTTCGTAAGGCTTTTGATGTAGTTTTTTAATATGTAAATATTTTTTAATACTGCTCCAATTCTCAAATAAATTGTATTGAAAAATATTCCTTTAAATATTGTAAACCAAAACAAGCGATTTAAATTGAGACAGAGGGAGTAGCTTTTAACTAGACTGAAATTGACGTTAATTTTTGTCTTTTGTATAAAAAAAAGAAAAAAAACAAATAATGGACTTTGGTTTAGTGTCACATTGGTTCTTTACTCAGTGCATTTTTTCACCTTCCTATGTGGGAAGTTTGACTGACGATTATTGTTCGTAGCATTGCATAAGGCATCGCTAGCCCGTTCATTTGTTAGTATATATTATTCCCGCACACAACCTAATGGCTTATAGCGTTTCTGCACGCAAGTTAATGCTCTTATTGGTTCATGACTTTTTTTAACTTTTCAAAATACAGTTTGATAATAGTGGGAGGATGCCTTGTGCAGTTGTACGAACTTATTTTCTAAAAGGGTCATGTGTATGCCAGATTTTTATTTGTTTTAAGCATCAGTGCATCACAATGGTGCTCTTACTTTTTGGAACAGATTATCAAATGCCATGTGTACTTAGGGACCAAATAGAGACATCTGTTTCAAAACACATGATTTTTGTACATGTAGATAATGTAGAAAAAACATGATTGGCTTGGCTTGTAATGTTACACCTACAAAATTTATTTTTCAGATGTTCTCTGTTTTATTGTCCATAACTTGTCAACCTTTTTCTCTAGTTCTGTTATTTGAAGAAATAACCCCTTGCGAGGCCTCCGTGGTGCTCAATCATAATTTTGATGAAGTTTCTTTTTAATATTGCTCATTCTTTATTTGTTTCTTGTGAATTTCGATCCCTTGTATTTCTTCTATCATTTCCATTGTTGTCCTTATGCAAAAAGTTTCTTTCCTCTGACAACATGAAATGGATATGTTTATATGTTCACAGGGAATGCATGTAGTGAGAGCTTTATTTGGAGAATTTTGAGTCCAGGTCAAAAAATAGGCAAGATCTCAAAATGGGTAGCTTTCCTTTCTTTTTCTTCCTATTTTAGTTCTCTTGAGCCTAGATTCATTCTCTTCCCCCTCTGAATTTTAAGAACCTTTTTAAGATTCTCATTCTAGGATTTTGTATGGTGGTTTATCAAGACAAAGTAGGATTTGACTATTTGGGTTGAAACTTAGATTGCCAATCGCTTTTCTCTTTTGACAACTTTTACACAATGTTTGGTTCAAGGAATTCGGAAGGAAAAGAAAAAAGAAAATGATTTTCTCTCATTTTCCTCCCCAAAATGGGAGGAATTTGATTTTCCTTCCCTTTTGCACATTTTTCCTTCTCATTTTCTTTTCCATCAACTTTTCTTTTCTTTTCCTCTCTAACCAAACAAAAAACACTGTTTTCCATCTCAGACTCTTTTCTTTTCCCTTTCAAATTCCTTGAACCAAACAGTGTTTTAATGTTCAAGTTTGCCATTCTAAAGATTTATTTGGTAGCCATAATTGTCCTATTTTGCTAATGTTCATATTTTCATTATTTAGCTTTTGACTATTTTGGCTGAAATTGAGGCTACCAAACTCATTTTTGTATAATGTCTAAAACAACAAGAGAAAACAAATTTTGGACTTTGGTTTAGCATTTTGAAACTAGAAACAATTGTTTTATAACTTGTATTTTTTAAAAACCATTTTCTATGTTCGGCTTTTCATTTACAAAACATCTTTTAATAGTAATTGGTTTTTAACAAATGAAATTTAAATGACTTTCTCAAAACACAACTAATTATGAAAGTTGGCTTCTTACAAATTATTTGTTTAATAGGTGGCTTTCCAAAGTATATCTTAATATAACAGTTGGTTTTTTAAACCAAACATAATTGTAGTTTTTTTTACAAATAGGAGTACCTTTTTACAACTCTATTATTATGTTGCCTGGATCAAAGTAAACCAGTGCTTCTATTTTCTTTGTATTGTAGTTCTCTAGACCCTAGATGCAATCCTCCCCATCCCCCCTTTAAATTTTAAGTACCTTTTCAAGATTCTCATTCCAGGATTTGTTTGGTGGATTATCAACATAAGTAGGGTTTGACTATTTGGGTTGAGATTGAGACTGCCAATCAATCTCCATTTAGTTAGCTTTTAATGAATATGTTAAAGATTTCCGTTCTAAAGGCTGTGTTTCGCAGCCATAATTGGCTTATATGTCTTATCCACATATTTTAAATATATAGCTTATGACTAATTTGTCCGAAGTTGAGGTTACCAAACACATTTTTGTCTAGTTTCTACGGTGTAAAAGAACAAAAGAAAAAAGAGATTTTGGACTTTGGTTTAGCGTCATATTGTTTCTTTATTGGGTGCATTTTTTCTAATTCCTATATAGTAAGTGTGACGACCATTGTTTGGAGCATTCCATAAGGCGTCACTACTCCATTTGTTATGTGGTGCGTCTTTTAGTTCATTAGAAGGCTTATACCGTTCCTGCACAACATAATGGCTTATACTGTTCCTGCACACAACATAATGGCTTATAGTATTCCTTCTCACAACAATGTCACTATTGGTTCATTAGGTTTTGTAAATTTGTCGAAATACAGTTTGCTAATTGTGGGTGTATGTCACGTGCAGTTGTATGGACTTATTTACTAAAAAAGGTTGTGTGTTTTTCAGAATTTTATTTCTTTTAAAGATTACTATGGGATCAAATGCCGCGTGCACTTAGGGATCAAATATAGTCAAGTTTGTTTCGTCGGACATGAATTTCATACAAGTAGATATTGTAGATAGAACATGATTCACTTGCAATATTATGCCTGCAAAATATCTTTTTTCATATTGTTAAATATATTCTTACTATATTTATTATATGTATATTGGTAGCTACCATAATTGTATAGGATGTATTAATTATTGTTTCCTATTATGATTAGGAAACTCTTATATATAAACCCATATAATCCTTCATTGTTAATTATTGAAATTTAGCTATTCAACATGGTATCGGAGCCCTAATCCTCGGCTTCCATCTCCCCCTTCGGCCAACCCTACCCCTTCGGCCCTCTCTCGGCCACCCTCCTCCGCCGGATCTCTCTTCACCGACAAACATGGCTGATGACTCTTCTGTCTCTTGGCAAAAACAACTCCTCCTTTGACAATCCCCCCAGCTCTCCCCATCTAGCCTTCACCACCATATCAAATATCAAACTACATATTCTTGTGCTACTTAGCCTCTCAGAACCAAATTACAAAGTGGAGCACGCTCTTTCAACTTCTTGTTCCCAGATTCAATCTCAAAGGTTTCATCGATGCACTACTATTGCGTCCTCCGCAGATGATACTGAATGGTACCAATTCGATGCTCTTCTTCAAGGGTGGTTTTTATTTACAATCAACGACGAGGTATCTGATCTCGTCCTTACTAGCAATCCTTCCGCTCATGCTCTCTGAAAGGCGATCTACAACCTCTTCCATGACAACAAACCTGCACGAGCGATGCTGGAGCTTCGCTTCCGCACAATGGTGAAAGGCAACCAATCCATTACAGAGTATTGTCGGCTTCTCAAAAACTTATCGGAGTACCTTGATGATGTGGACGCCTTCGTGACCAAGCAGGCCCTCGTTCTGCAAATGCTTCAGGGACTGCCGCATGACATCTGGTCTCAGGTCCAATTCCTACAATATTAGAATCCCTTCCCTACCTTCCTCGAAGCACGGTCCGCTTTGCTCCTCGTCGAACAACAACAGAACGATGCCCTCCACAACACTGGATTGTCGTCCACTGCCCTCCTCAGAGCTCTGACGACGGCGCACAGCAGCACCGATCTAGAGGCCAAAACCAGAGCGAGTACGGTGGAAGAACCGGGGCACCGGCGATGGCTACGGACATGGCGGCGGCAACCAGCGTCAACCCTCGAGCTCAGCCTGGCAATTCCCCTCCCCCACTCTGGGCGCTTGACCGTGCCCCTGTTCACCCTACCCTCTGGCCCGAGTTTACACCACCCACTACCCACATCCCCATGCATCGGGCCCATATTACCAAACCCCCAGCCCATTCCCTCCACTTCCCAGCCCATACCCCATCCCCAAGCCCTATCCACCCCCTGATCCCATACACCATCCCACAATCCCCCACCCCCATCAATTCACCAACCCCCCTCCCCTACCGCCCTAGCGCATAGCCTCGAACACCTCACCCTCAATCACCACCCCACATGGCTTATGGATACCGGAGCCTCGCACCACCGCTAACTCAGGTACTTTATCTCATGTATTTCCTTCAAGTATTTATTCACCTTCGCATATTATTGTCGGTAACAGTTCCAAAGCTAGTACTACAGGTTATGGTAATGGGAATCTTCCTACACCCCCCAAACTCTCAAACATGTCCTTATTTCCCCCATATTATTCATAACCTTATCTTTGTTCGTCAATTCACCCGTGACAATAACTGTACTATTGAATTTGACTCATGTGGTTTCTCTGTGAAGGACAAACTGACGAGAGCCGTGATTCATCGATCCAATAGTGCCAATCATCTCTATCCACTATCTCCAGCCCCCTGCACATCTTCATCTGGCTCAAGGCGATCTTCCCACCTGGCATCATCGACTTGGACATCCAAGCCCTGCAGTTCTCCATGGTGTTTCTCCTTTCTTAAATAGTTTACCTAAATCTAAACTAGAACATTTATGTCATGTATGTCAATTAGGCAAACATGTTCGCCTACCTTTTCAAGTGTCCAGTCGTGTATCAACTTTTCCTTTTCAATTAATGCATACAGACTTATGGCAATCGCCTGTCCCTAGTATGACTAGTTTTAAATTTTACATGTTTTACTTGATGATTTTTCTCATTATTTATGGATATTCCCCCTACGCCACAAATCTGATGCCTACTCCCATCTTGTTAAATTTTATTCCCTTGTTCAAAATAAATTCAACACAACCATAAAATCAGTCTAATGTGACAATGGCACAGAATATAGAAACAACCCCTAGCCACATTTTTTGAGTCTTTAGGTATCCTCTTTTGCTTTTCTTGCCCATACACGAGCCAATAAAATGGCTGCGCGGAATGCACGATTCGTACTCTAAACAATACCGTTTGCACCCTCCTCTTCCAGGCCAACCTCCCCCCTCAATTTTGGGTAGAAGCCCTTCACATGGCCACACATCTTTTCAATATCCTACCCACCACCGCTCTTGACAATTGCACACCCCATGAAGCTTTATTCGGCACCGCCCAACCCTACACACACTTATGCATCTTCGGTTGCCTCTGCTAACCTAACCTATCTGCCACTGCCCCATACAAACTAGCCCTGCGTTCCGCTCGGTGCATTTTCCTTGGCTATCCTGCGGCTCAACGTGGCTACAGTTGTCTGGACCTCACCACCCACAAAATCATCGTCTCCCGCCATGTCACATTCGATGAGTCGTGTTTCCCTTATGCATCCCCCCAGTCTCTCTCCAATTATGATTTCCTAGACGCCGTGGAGGACGACATTCCCCCTCACCACTATCATCTCCTAAGCCAACCCTCCCTGTCCACCTGCCCCCCAACTACACACTACCCCACCAATCACCCCCACTATTGCCCAC